AAAGCTAAATTCTGTTCATTGGCTTGCTAGATATACCAGAAATATACATGAACAGGATGGAACTATATAGAAATATACAGATTGTGTTTTTGAAAATTAGAGGGAGACCAGGCATATTCGAGCAGGTGACAAACGCATGACTTTCACGTGAAAATCATGTGAATATCATGCGTTTATCACGTGCAATAGAAAAATCGCATTATTTCGAAGACAACAAATTTCACGAAATTCCGTGATAGTTTAGTGGCTAGAATTACCGTTTGTCGCATGGTAGACCGGGGTTCAATTCCCCGTCGCGGAGCATTTTCATTGCGCAAATGGTTTAGTGGTAAAATCCAACGTTGCCATCGTTGGGCCCCCGGTTCGATTCCGGGTTTGCGCATTTTTTTGCAATTTTAGGTATCTACGAGTTCGATAAATAGATGCCTGATGTTTTTTTTGAATTAAATGGGCATAGTTTCCGTCTGTACGGGAAGCTGTACCGATTTTTATCGTTTTCCGTTTGAATCGGAAATAGTTTTTTTTTGTTGCGAAACCGAAGTAGATTTTCAATTGTAAACAGAATGGATTTTGTGTTCATCATTTATTGCTATTTCCGAAGGAATTCGCCGACTCATTTTACGTTGATTATCAGAGAAGAGGCTTGAAGAAGATGCATGGGCATGGAATTGCCAGTAATTCTATTTCACTTTCTTTTAATTTCCCTATTTCCGCTTATGTGATTATGACAGAAATGATCAAGGAATAGAGAGAAGGGTTTCTAAATAGAGAGAAAGCGTGAATATCCGTTTTGGTTAAAGGAGAAGAATTGTCAAGTCAAAGCACCTCATTTAGACACTCCTATTTGAATGCGCAAGGAAAACACGAAGTTTTCTCCGAAGAAAAGGACAAGAAAATAAATGGATCGTTCAAAGGGAATCTTCCATATCTGATCTCGGACTGTTGGTATTTGTCTCCGGCCGAGAAAATGTAAAAAAAAAGAGAAAAATGATTTTCAGAATCTATTAGTTTTGAGGAGTGTTATTTTCATCAACGCAGTGGGAAAAAATACAATATCCGAGGAAATATAGCTTTACCGAGCTATTGATTTGAAGATAACCAGGCGTCATCCTTGATAAAATGGTCTCACTTAGTTGGGCAAATCCGACATCTTCGAGGTCACTTTTACAAACTTAAAGGCGAAAATGAATTTGTTCTCTATTTGATCGAGACCACACATGCTAGTAAATACGATAGATCGTTTTTCTAGATTTCTTAGTTGGATAATTCGGTTCCACCACCACAGATATTGCTCTATTCATTGAAGAAATCCCTATCTTTTAGTCATGCTCAGTGATTCTCATTCCAGTTGCGAAGGAGAAGACCTCACTGGGCTTTTATTGATTTGACGGAACAACGGGTTTCTACTTTGGAAGCCATATTAAATTATTGGAGGGAGCACGGCTTACCAAAGCATAAAGGTCGACGAGTTGATCTGTCTTAGGCTAATCATAACACTCTTACTTTACCGACTTGCTGCAAAATTATTGATCACCGATTTTCGCACTTCAAAGACAAAAAATTAAAATAATCAAAGGCAAAAAAAATACAATTGTTCTTTAATTGCCCCTTAATTATTATCAGTTTATATCAATTGGTCAAACTATCTCCCAAAAGATGAAATTGAAGTTAATCATATCAATATTCTTATTACCTCTCATATCTTCTGCCGCGCTAGTCGATCAAGGACAAGTTGTTTTAGAAGATATCCCCACAGTTGAAGAAGGCGCAAGTGTTGCAAGAACATTAGTTAACAGAGAATCATTAGTTAATGTGAATACAATCAAATCAATCAGAAATGGAGATGATCGTATCAGACATCTTCCAGTTTCCTCGATGGAATACTATGCTGATTGTGATGCTGATGGAGATCCATATTGGTTAGTCATTGATATTGGTGGAACAAACCAGAATATTATCAAAGGGTCTGACTATTCATTTACGATTAGAGATGGAGATCATCCAAACAATGAGAAAGTAGATGAAAATTATCCTGGTCGTGTTCAAGGATCACCTGCAGGATCACCCAGGGTTCAATTGTCTGGAAAATTAAGAAAAATCACATTTAATAATCCATTTGATCAAAGAAAACTTGCTTTAGAGAAGTGTTTTCTTTTAAGACATCCAGATGCCGTCATGTGGTTGCCTAGTAATGTTGTATCTCCACATAAATCCCATTGGGCTAAGATAATGGTTGATGGTGTTTATCTTATTGGTGGATTTGGTGATCGAGCCTATATTGGGGAGATCGATGCGGATTTATATCACTCAGCTGATATAATTAATTAAATAATTAAACGTTAAACAATGCTGGGAATAGTAAACAACAAACAAACTAAATAAAAGGAGGATTTCGACTTCCGTCATTTTATAATTAGATTTTGAAATTATATAGGTATGAATATTAACCTTTGAAATGGAATTCCGTCATTTCATTAGTCATATTGTGAACTAATTTTTTTTATTCAATTTAGACTCAGATTTTAATGTGGAAATACAAATTTAAAGTGAAAAATAAAAATAGCAATAAGAAGAATTGATTAACGGTATGACGTACACATGTACACTTTCTCTAGTTTGAATGTTTCCATTGTAGTGGACTTGTACTCCTAGAGATAATTTCATATTTTTAGAATACCGTTTTTTCTATTGTTGTTCGGTATAAACAATTTGGTGGGGTTGCAAGAAAAAAAAATCTATTTCCATGGTACCGAAAGGAAGGGAAGGGTTTCCATTACCTAACAATGAGAAAAAATGGAAATAGACATAAAGAAAAAAAAAGACAAAAATGACAAAAAGTTTGTAAACCATTATTAAATTTTTTCCAAGGGGAAGGAAGTTATTAATCAAGTATACACATTTACATTTACACAAAAATACTCAAGGCTTTGAGATATTTCTTTAATCAAATAAATTTTATCCATGGATAATTCTTGAAATAAAGAGATAGTGTAAAACATCAAAACGGATTCATTTGACAAGATAACTCTTGTTGCATGGCTTTTGTCAATTGACAGTTGAACTTTAAAAATCCGTACATACACGTATAATCAAAATAACGGATAATCCATTTTAGGAAGCATACTTCATAATTAGTATGGAATTACGTATTTAAACTTTATTATTGGATCAAACTAAAAGAGTTTATTTTTTTATTGGTCTTGTTAGTTGGTATTTCCGGTTTCTCCTCTACCCCACATAAAACAAAAGAACTCCGTAATCAAATCTTATAAAAGAAATTAATTACACAAAATATGGGGGGTCGGTGTCGGACTTTGTACATTCATATCATCATCTTAACAACCCAAGCAATTTTCTACTATTTCCGTATCTCATCTTTTAACAAAGATGGAGATCAAATAAAAATACTTCAAGAAAAATTAATGCATAAAACCCCACCATTTATAATTTCAAAATCAATTATAAATATTTCACGATTTCATTTTGATTTTTAGATTTCAAATTTTACTTCTTTCTTTCTTTAATCAGTTTAACTACTATAATTATTTATTAGAAAACTATAATAACAGCCACTACAATGCCTGCTCAAAACGAAATCAAAACTTCAAAGACTGATGTCTTAATTATCGGTGCTGGTCCATCCGGTTTAATGTGTGCCACTTGGTTAGCAAGATGTGGTATCCCATTCAGAATTATTGACAAGAGATCCAATGAAATATTCTCTGGTCAAGCTGATGGTTTACAATGTCGTTCTTTGGAAATTTTCAAATCATTTTCTGAAAATTGTTTCGATTTTGCTACTTTAGATAACAGTTGGAAAGTTTCTAATCATATGATTGAAATGTGTTTCTGGAGTCCAAATGAAAAGGGTGAATTAGTTAGAAACTCAAGAGTTCCAGATACTATTCCAGGTATTTCTCGTTTTACTCAATCCGTCATTCATCAAGGTAACATTGAAAAATGGTTTAATGAATCCATTGAAGTCTTTTCTGAAGGTCAAGCAAAGGTTGAAAGACCATTATTACCAGTTTCTATCAAGATTGACGAAGAAAAAGCCAACGATCCAGACGCTTATGCTGTCGAAGTTTTAGTTAAGGACATCACTGGTGATTCCTTAGCTAAACCAGAACAATTTGGGGCCAAGGTTGCTAATGGTCTTTATAGAGCTTTCGATGGTGATCAAGATAAATTCTACGCTTTAGATGATTCAGAAGACAAGTCCAAACTTGAACTTATCCAAGCTAAATACGTCTTAGGTTCAGATGGTGCTCACAGTTGGGTCAGAAAACAATTAGGGATTGACATGGAAGGTGAACAAACTGATTTTGTTTGGGGTGTTCTTGATATGGTCCCAATTACAAACTTCCCAGATATCAGAAACAGATGTGCCATTCACTCTAAAGATTCCGGTTCTGTTATGGTTATCCCAAGAGAAAATGATTTAGTCAGATTCTATATTCAATTAAAGGAAGTTGAACGTGATCCAGCTACTATAAATGCTAATAGAGATTTTTCTGCAACCGACAAACATACCAGTACCAAGGGTAGAATTGATCGTTCCAAGATTACTCCAGAATCTATCTTAAAGCAAGCTCAAGAAATTATGAAGCCATACTCCTTGGAAATGACTGATTTAGATTGGTACACTGGTTACCAAATTGGTCAAAGAGTTTCTCCAAATTTCGGTAAGAACAACAGAGTTTTCATTTCTGGTGATGCTTGTCACACTCATTCTCCAAAAGCTGGTCAAGGTATGAATGTTTCCATGCAAGATACTTACAACCTTGGTTTCAAATTAGCTTTAGTTTGTAAAGGTTTAGCTAAGCAAGATATCTTAACTACTTACGAATCTGAAAGATTAAAGGTTGCTCGTGGTTTAATTGCCTTTGACCATAAATTATCCAGATTATTCAGTAGTAAGCCAATGATTCCAAACTCTGAAGTCTTAGATGGTGTTGATTTAGATGAATTCCATCACGTTTATCTTGAAGGTAACAAGTTTGCTTCTGGTACTATTGTTGACTACGAAGATTCCGTTTTGATTAACAAGAAGGGTTCTTCTGAACCAGATGAAGAAGGTCGTAGATACAATCCTTTAGCTCCAAAGGTCCCACTTGGTAGAAGATTACACAGTGACATTATCATTTCCCAAGCTGATGCCAGACCATACCACATTGCTGATCGTCTTGCTTCCGATGGTCGTTTCAGAGTCTTGGTCTTCCCAGGTGATGTCAAAGAAAACCCAGAAAACTTACAAACCTTACATCAATTCCAAGATTTCATTGCTTCCAAGGACAATTTCGCTAAGGCTTTCACTCCAGTCAATGCTTTCGACAACTCCGTTATTGATGTTATCACTGTCCATGCTTCTTCTCGTTATGATGTTGAAATTTATGATTTCCCAGACTTCACTAGACCATTGGATTACAAGGGCCGTTGTGACTACTGGAGATTATACTCTGGTGTTGGTACTACTTATCATGAAGGTGCTATTGACTTATACAACTCTTATGGTATTGATAAGAAGAAGGGTTGTATCGTTGTCTGTAGACCAGATTCTCATGTTGCACAAGTTTCTGAGTTCAATCTTGATGGTTTGAAGGAAGTTGATCAATATTTCAAGAACTTTATGATTCCTCAAAATAAGAATGTCTTAGAAGCTAAGACTAAGGAAACCAATGACCATGATAGATTTGTTAAGCCAAGATTAGCTGTTTAGATCAAATTTTACATTTTATTTATAGTTTTTAGTAGTTGTTTAATATTTATAGTTCGTGTATTTAAGAAATCCAAAAAAAATAGTTGTTTATTTAATTGACATTCAATCGTAGTTATAAATTCTTGATAGCAAAACTATAAGATGGTGAGCCAATCTCTTTCGGTATTTACATATGCAATAAATAAATATATAATGACAATATAAACTTCTTTAAGCAGACCCTCTTGCCATCTTCATCTTTTTCTTTCTTAGTTCCTTTTCCTTCCAAAATCCTTCAGCCTCCACCACAGCATTAAGTGCCATCCCCATCGCCTTAAAATCCGTCATCAAATTAACATGCCCAGCCATACTTGCGAACTTCCCCACGATCTGTCCTTCACACGTATCAGCATCAAAATACGAAAACCCCTTCTTTTCAGGCATTAGCCATCTCTGATGCACGACTCCGTCACCATGCCCATAGAAGAATTCGTAATAGTTTCCATCTTTGATATCTTGTCTACTTCTAACTATGGATCCTCGGACGGATGGGATTGTGTTTCCGTAGACAACGGCCATAGGTGGATATTGATCTTCCAAATCTGGATTATATTCTAATGATAGTATGAATTTTTTAGTTGATTCTAGGGTTTCCTTTAGATAATTATATGCCTCTTTGAAAGTAAAGGAGTATTTTGTGTTATCGTCAAAACCATCTTCGGTTGTAGCTGGTCCGTTTAATACCCCGGGTAGACTGTGAGAAGATGTATCCATCGATTTGGATTTCATTAATGTTATGGTTTTGGACCGGTATAGTTTATTTATCTTGTTACTTATCAGATTTATACTTGGGAACGAAAGGATTGAATCATTTGAAGGAGAATGCAACATTTCTCTCGCCGAACTCTCTTCCGCAATTTTCCTATTTTTGGAAACTAGCGGGTTTAAATTGTATTCTACCCAAGTATCAGGATCAAAATAATCAAGATCATAATATTCTTTAGCTTCTTTATTATAAAAAACTCTTCCACTTAATGGAAGGAACACAAAACTAGACCTCATCATGAAATTAGTTTCAAAGGTTAAAATCTTATCTGATAGAAGTATCGAATCTCCAAACCGTATTGGCCCAAGAATGTTCAAACATTCACTAGGGCAACCAACATAGACAATAGATCGGAAAAGTTTTGGATTTCTTTGAAGGGTAGCTTGTGCTATCATTCCACCCATTGAATGTGCAATCACCAATACAGGTTTCCCCGTCTCATTATAAATATCAGTTAAGAATTGTTCAAGTTTCTTCGATGTATAATCTCCACTTAATCTCCAATCATAACCAAATTCTCGGATATTTACTTTTGGATTTGCTTCTAGTTTCTTAATGAATTTCTTACACATGTCAATTGGACCAATATTCTTCAACATTCCATCAGGATATATTGAATCTTCTGCATTTAATTCGTCTTGTTTTGTAGGTCCTAATAAGAGATCGATTTTTCTTAAATTAAAGCCAGCTTTAATTGGAATCCAAACTCGTTTCTTTGATTTGGTATCTCTTAAAATCGAACCTCTATATCCACCCAATATAACAATATTTCCTTCAATTCTATCATATATAGTATCGCAGGGTTCTTTCTCTTCCTTTTTGGACTTAAAATCGGGTAGAATTTCATTTAGGTTTGAAGTGAATGTCAGTTTCACAGCTCTGAATCTTCCATCATCAGTACCCTTAACTCCTTTGAAATATTTCGCTTCGTCAACTGTACTTATAGATTGTTGCTTTTCTAGTTTTAATCTAACTTGTTCAGTTAATTCATCATCATGACGGCTAACAAAGTTGTCTATTATTTTGAAATTTTGAATCTGTCGAGATATATGACTTCTTAAATTTAATAATCCTCCAAATGGTAAAGAAAATGAAAAGACTTTCTGTGAATCACTAAATTTTGATAATTCTGATTCTTGAAAAGTAGTATCATTAGCTTTAAATTCTTGTTGAGAACTTGTCTTATGGGAATCCGCAATAGGATGGGGGGCATTAGAATGTTCAATTTGATTCCTATATACAGTTTCAATGGATTTCCCACCTACAAAGGAAGTGGCATCTGTTCTTGTAAGTTGTCTACTTATGGGAGCCGAACTAGGAACAAATGCTTGTGGTTCTTGAGTATCTAATTCAGTTGGATCCAGATCTTCTTCATCAGGCAGAATTTCATCTTCATTCAAATAAATATTACTTTCTGTGAAGTTTCTAGAAATTCTAATTATATTTGGAGGTTCAATGCTATGTTGAGGCAGTATGATATTTGCTTCATTAGTTAAACCCATGGTTTTCGGTGTATGATGATTTGCAGTTTAGTTATGTGCTTTTTTTTCCCATAAAAATCAAACAAATCAATGTGTTCTTCGTTTTTTATTTAAAAGTTTAAAAGCGATATAAGTGAAATGAAATGAATTGAAAATAAAGAACAGTATTAAGATTTGTTTATATTCTTCGTAAATTGAAAACTTGGGCTGATCCCGTAATGGATGAGTGATCATCGGTTGATTTTTTTTGTCTTATGAAAGTTTATTTTATTTTTTTTTCAATTGCCGATCCAGCCGTATTTTTCCGTTCTCCGTTCTCCGTCTCCGTTCTTCTATGCCAGATTGATTTAATTGTTCTGAAAATAATTGCAAGTTCTTGGCAACGTTTTAGAAACACAAGATCTTGAAGCATTTGTGTACTTCCTGAAATAATCACAAGCCAAAAAGTTATTAGCATAGAAAGCAAACTATATGTTGTTTTGATTATTCGGTGTTTACTACTCACCATCATAAACACACAAATACTATCAATTGATCTCCCATGCCTAGCCCACTTTGAGGAGTCTAAGTATTCATTAGTAAGTTGAACGGAGTCGTAAACAGATTACCCGTGGAATTGTAATCAATTATATTTAAAAGACTGATTTAATAGAACACAGTAATGAAATTGTCATATCGAAAGTCTACTTTTTTTTTTACTTGAGAAGGAGAACTATTAGTTAACAGAAACATTATTTATTTGGTTGCTATTTACTGATTAAAAAAATAGTCAAAAAGAATAACTAAATATCTAATTTTGAGAATGACTCAGAAAGCTACTGTGTACCTGCAATGAACTGTTCATAGGCCCAGTTCTATGAACCCTTAACCATCTCGACAAGCCTTCAGCTGAAGCATTATTAAATATGTGAAGTTGAATATTTTGTTTTTGTCTATCATACGTGGTGAGGAAAATTGTTGCAAACTTTTTATTCTCATCATAAATCTGGCTTTGTTGCCAAATATCTTTTTTAAGGGTAGAAGTGTTAATACTTCCTGCAAACAACTTATCTCAAGGCCATATATTCAGCGATGGTACGCATGTCGGTGGTCTTGTTCTTCTTACCAGGTTTTTGACTTTTGTTGCGACCAAAGATAGACTTTGTCTTGGATTTAACAGTATCCAAACTGGAAGTAGCAGACATTACTGAAACGTTTGATGAATCGATCTTTTTTAATGAAGCAGACATATTGATGATTAGATGGTTATTTGAGTGAAGAATAAGATATGAAATCTATTCCAGAGGGAATATCTTGTGGTATTTATACCCCTTTTTAGGAGTCCGCCTTTAAATTAGGACTAATAATCGACATTTCCAAAATTCCACATAGTTAAAACCTTAATAGATCCCTAAACACTAGAAAGTTCCAGCATAGTAATTAAACAATAAGACGGTAATAATTGTGGAGAACACGTATATGTCTTGATGACTAATTATGAAATCATTTTCAAAATAATAGATTAAGAACAATGGGCTTGAACAAAGTGCGGCTATGACCTTCCGCTAATTATCAACTGCCAGGAACTTCATTCTCTACCGTACAACACCAAACCTCGTAGCAAATTCAAGAAGCTAAGTGTTTGGAGTATCGTTACGTCAGAGTAGATATTTGACAAAAGGTGTTATCATTTGATATTAATAGAATTAATGAATTAATGAATCAATAAATTTTTCCAAACCGTTTTTCTTTTTTTTTTCAATTTATTTGCAACAATTGAAATTAAGAATATTTTTTAATCTCCTTGTTTCGCATGTTGCGCTCCAATACTAATTCGTGCCGCATACTAAACCCGATTAAATATTGATGGCAAAACTTTAAATACACTAATCAGTTCTTAAATAGGTTTGTGACTCATTAAAACTCGTAAGTCGGAAATAATATTGCGCTTTCTTAATACTAACATTTGCTAGTATTTTTTAAAAGAACAATATGAAATAGGTACAACAGAGGTCAGAAATGACATTTGCAATGGCAAAACTGATCCAGAAAGATCTTCTCTGTATAACAGATCAAGAATCCTGGACATTTAGATACAAAATCATGAATTGCGTGAACACAATATAAAAGTGACCAAAGATGAAAGACCATGGTATGAATTTCTCACCAACTTCACGTTCAAAGCATCTACTACAGAATGACAGAAGAAATAGAGCCTTTTGAATTGAAGCAAAAGGAATTCATAGAGGAAAACTTTAATCCGATTATCGACTTTGCTAGTAAACTCAGAGCCATTCAGATATGTGGGATTTATGCAACAATTGAAATTATGCATCGTTGCCAAGATTTTTTGCAGCTTTTTCCACAACATCTGATTATCCGTTTGCCATCTACTGCTTCTGGAACAGTGCAATTTATTGAGTAAAGGTACTTCGTTGAAGTTCTAAAGTATTCTTCAAGAATCCGAAATAAAATCATTGTTATCGTGTATTGTTGCAAAAGAGTTAATGAAATAACATAATATTGTTCTATACAAATTTAAATTAATTTACTTGAATTCTCAACTACCTGAGTTTGAGGCTTGTCAATTTCACCTTCAAATAATTGGTGATTTTCATGGAATGCTTGATCGGTTTCATGTCTAGCATTTGCCAAAACGACACTATGTGCATGTCTTGCTGGTAAGTTTCTGTCAAACAATTTATCCATATCTTCCAAAGCAATACCTTTTGTTTCTGGCAAGAAGAAATACACAAATGGTATTGAAATAATAGCCAAACTAGCAAAGAAGAAATAGATACCATATTTCATAGCATCAATCATATTGGAGGTGAAACGAGACATAATAAAAATTGGAACCCAAGAAACAGCCGCATTAATGGCTTGAACGAATGATCTAATATTTTGATCAAAGACTTCACTACCAACAACGAATGGACCACCTGACCATGCCAAGATAAAGGATGCAATCCAAATATACATCATACCAATTGCAGCTTTACCACCTGGACCAGCCAGATGTCCCGGTTGAGTTGGGTCTACCAATTTTAAATAGGCTCCAATATACCAGAAACAAATTGAACACACAGTTGAGGAAGCCAAAAATGCTTTTCTTCTACCAATGGTGTCAACAATGAAAATAATGTAGACAAATGTACAGACAAACTTAACAATACCGAATAAACCAGTAGAAAATAAGGCATTACTGGTACCTTGAACACCTAAACTTTTGAAAATAACTGGAGAATAATAGTTGATCGATTGAATACCTAAGAAATTTTGGAAAAGAAACAACAGCATGGTAATAAGTAAACGGTACAAGACTTTCTTGTTGTTCCAGAAAACTTCATAAAATGGATCCATGATACCTAATCCAACATTAATCTTTTGTGATTCAATAGATTCTTTGACTTGATTAACTTCATAAATAATGTATTCATCATCTTCAGGCAATTGCCTAAACCAAGTTAAATTCTTAATTGCTTCATCGTATCTTCCAACTTGGAACAACCATCTTGGAGATTCTTTCATGAAAATACCACCTAAAAGGAAAAGTCCACTTGGAATCATTTGAATGGCGAATGGAATAAACCATTGCTTCTTACCTGGAGCAATATGAGAATCAACCGCATAATTAATCCAAAATCCAACTAAGTCACCAATTCTCCACCCGATTTCATAACTACTTGTTAATTGACCTCTGATAGCAGGTGGTGCAACTTCGGAGATATAGACAACGGTCAAATTTGTCGAGAACCCGACACCAAGACCAGCAAGAACTCTACCAACATAAATAGGTGCCAAACCAACAGAGCTTGAAGCAGCCAACATAACAGCGGAACCAACAGTAAGCAATACTGCAGCAATGATCAATGGAATACGCCTACCAAGGTAGAATGAGAATGGATAGGAAATCAAAGCACCGAAGAAACATCCGACATGGAAAACTGAAATAATATTGGCAATAATGGCCTGGGAATGAGGTGAGCTATCTAAATTGAACGCTTCTAGAAATGAATCTAAGGCGACAGTACCACCAATGAAACCTCCATCATAACCAATAATAATTGCTGCTGCGGAAGCCATGATGGCCGTCATATAGACTCGGTAGTTATAGACTTGTGGTGGTGTTGGTCTATCTTCATCCTTTTCAAATAAATTCCTGAACTTGAACCATTTCTTCTTTGGTTGTTGTTGTTTTGGGGAGTCGATGGTCGACATTGATACATTTTCCCTTGTAGAAACCGATAATGTATCTTTTGCTATACTCATAATAATATGTTTGTTTGGTAGTTATTGTTGCTTTGCAATATAACAAACTTAACAACAACTGGGAATTATAACCGGGGGATATCTATGTCTATTTATATTAAACTCCAAGCTAACCTGTGCTTCCCCACAAGAATAAAAATAATGCTTTCGTCTATAACCTCTAACAAACAATAGGAATCTATAATATTTCCCCTTCTTGCAATGGATTGTTCATAACAGATTTAAAGCAAAGTCATGCTTGAGTTCGAAGATATCTAATTTCTTTTTTTTTTAATAATAACTCAAATTTCCTGTTAACAATAGGGTCACATGATCGGTAATTTACCACAAACGCGCCAAAAATTTAAATTTTCTTAGCAATTTGTTGTAAAAAGGGTCCCCCACGCAAAAATGGATCCCCCAATCTTGGGAATAACAATCAATAGCTGAACGGCTGGCGTGGGGGATACCAAAATTTGGAGGCAACCTTACCATACAAAAGGTGGTATCCCCCACGAAGATACTTAGAAGCCAGAGTCCCCCATGGGGAAATCTGCCAGATCTTTAGCAAGTGTCTATCTATCTTTCTATGCGAGTGAAGGTTTTGTTTAGGTTTTTTTTGCAGCAATCTTTATATTTTCTTGGCTGCAAATGGCATGCAATGTGTATTCAAGCTACTTCATGCTTGTTTACGTCGATTTATTTTCTCAGCATACCTGAGAGTTTCAATCGAGACAATATATCAGCATACCTGAGAGTTTCAATCGAGACAATAGAATTGTTCGAAGGGGGAGTACATCTTTTTAGTATGCACGGAAGAAGTGAAAAAGAATGCTCCTCAAAAAAAATAAGGCTCTTATTTTCTGGAGAACGTTTTCTCAAAGCTATTTGCCTACGCCACGCTATATTCTTCTTCATGCTACAGAAACAGAAAAGTGTACAAGGGACAGTAGATAGATAGTCATAAATGCAAACAAGAACCCCGTATGCACATCAAGATCAAATTTGATAGGAGATCTTGAAGTTCGGTACTAATTGGCTGCGAAATACTCATTAGCTTCACAGATGGATGGAGTTATCGTCACTATTTTTCCTAAATTACCCACAACTGTCTCAACTTCAATTGGACCTAGGCAAGCATAAGCCACGACTCTTAGAGGAATCCTTTGGACCCACAGTATTGCCAATTAAATATTCAGAGAAATTTTGTTGAAGACTCTGGGACTCTGCACTCCCCTTTGTTAATAACTCCTTTCAAGGTAGCCCTAGGTATCCCAATCCACACACTTACTCTATCATTTGACCCAGTTAGGTCCTCAACTAGGCTTCCTGAGTTTTGCTTTGAAAGAAAGGAGCATACTAATTCATATACTTTGGATTTTTTTTTGGAATATTTACAAAAGGAGCATTCTATAAGAGCCTGACTTTTGAAATTGGCCCAACAATCTTTTACAAGTGTCCTGTAATCTCCCAGTCTATTTTCGTCCCATTTCTAAAAAGGAAAGATTGCAGTAATGGAATCGTGCAATTGGTCAGATCCATGCTGTTAAAAATGAAAAATATGAACCACCTATATTTCGCTGTCTTTAATAATTGGGTACGATGATATAATATTGACCCTAAGCGTGAAAAATAATAGCTTGGATTATACTGGATTCAAAAGTAAATGAACAAAAAAATAATTGGACGAGACAGGAATCGAACCAGTGACCTTTTGCTTGCAAGGCAAACGCGCTACCAACTACGCCACACGCCCTTTTTCACGAACTAAAAATTGCATAATTGAATGTCCTCGTGATTACGTCACGTGACAAAATTTTCTTAACAACAGCAATAACTTCACGTTTCCAACTGTAAGTTTCAAATTAAGATAATAATAAGGCAAAGTTATACTAGAAGATGAGATTAAAGTCATTACCTTTTCCCCAGCAAATGTCATTTATGTCTCGAACTCTTTTTGAGAATATCGAAGTTTTACCGTAAAAATGATCCAATTTTTAAACGGTATATGAATTAGGTACTGATAGAAGAATGGTAGTTCAGACAACATATATCTACAATTTCCCAAACAGGAATGGTATATTGTCTTATAACGACAAAAGATGCGGATTTTGTAGCTGCGTTCTTCAAATTTATGAATTATTTGCTGCAAAAAAAAAGGTGGAACAAATTCAATTTGGTTGTAAGAATAAATTTGTTGCAAATGAAATGCACTTTTTCATCCACCAAGACAAAAGGGGCTATATTCGTTCTGGCAAGAGTAAAGTAGTCAATTCACCTGATAGCTGTGACAAGTAGGGGAAAGTCAATATAATTGCTAATTGGTTGTTTGAAAAAAGCTTGGAGCCTCTTATTGGAAATTAATGACAAATTAGAGATGAGCAATACCTCATTTTTAGGATCTATTCCAGCATACTATTAGATTGAACGTAAGTATGTAGGTGGGGACAGAAGATATCTGTCTACAATCATTGTTTGAACATCCATTTGATGGAATAAGTATGCATTGCCCTTTTGGTATATCAATTTTAAATTATCATCTTTTCCCACAGAGAATAAACTTCTTAGATTAACTTCACTGATTTTCATACATCATCAGGAGAAAGATATTACGAGAAAATTGTCCTCCCTAAATTACCCTTAACCACTATGCTTAGTTATCGTGGCTAGAAATGGTCTTTGGTGGTCATTGGTTGTGACTGGGAAAATTTGCAACCATTTAAACGCCAGATTGAGAAAAAAAACTAGAATAACTTCATTTATTCGTTTCTTTTCTTCTTTACTTTCCACAAAGAAATCAACCAATTCAATAATGTATTCAATCAGAAATTTTCTAAATCTCATCATCAATCCAGCAAAGCCGTCTATGTAAAAGCATTCTTGGCGTGAAGTTGTTAGAGGAAAAATGAGACCTTTGGGGCAATTAATCCACAGATATGAAATTAAACCACAGAAACCAAATTGAAACTTCTTTCAACGACGATCAGCATTCCAGTATTACTACTCCTTTATCATTAACAAATCATTATGTCTGCTACTATTATTGAAGCATTAGATGCCATTATCTTTCAATCCACTAATTATTTCATTAATCATTTAACTCGAAGTTTCAACCTTTATTATATCAAGACACAAATACAAATCCACAAAAAAAATAAAGAATAGAACTTTCAGATGAAGAATTTGGTGAAGATACAATTTGGAGAGAGTTTGACTGGATTTCAGGGATCCGGTTTAATCCTTTCATACTGAATTAGCCACCTGACCAAGTTTGTGTGATAGGGTTTAATCTGATTTCAATGGGAGAAGGTTTGGCTCAATCTAGATTGGCATCAGAAAGAATCAGATGGAGAATTTGATGAATATTTCAATAGTGATGCTCAATCATTTATGGAGAATTGCATGTGGATTTCATTGATGGAGAGTTAATTGTGGATTTAATATGTCTTGATTAATCATTTATTCAATTTTTATGTGAATTTCAATGTTGGTGAAGAATTATTGGTGGCTAATTCAATGTTGATGTCAATGAAGATCAGAAATTAGTGGAGATACAATCTAGAAAGAGTTTGACAGGATTTAATGGATCGGGCTACTCCTTCATACTGAATTGGCCATCTGACCAATGATTTTGTTTGTGTGATAGGTTTGCATCTGATTTCAGTGGAAGAAGGTTTGGCTCATTCTACGTTGGAATTAGGATGAAGATTAAGATTAAGAATTTAATGGGATTTCAATGGCACTCCTGGATCACGTATGAAGATTTCGATGCGGATTTCAATGATAGGAATTCCGAGAGAGTTTTATACGGAGCTCAACGGTGATGTTTGGTGTTTTAACCTAGTTATTAAGAGTGAATAAGAAAAGTCCAAATATGGTGAGTTTTTCGAGGTTAGCAATAGAACGCACACGTGATTATAAAATAAAAATAAAAGAAAATATATTATTAACACTATTTTTCACTCTTCTTACCTGGTTTGTACAGCTGCTGAGTAGAATTGAGGGGACGAAAGTCGAGCTCGTTGTACATATATGTGTAGAACTCTTGATACGTTTTGTAAATTCTAGCTAAATCAGACTGTGAAAAAGATGCCGCATTTTTCTCAAAAACCGGGACTGTAGATAGAACAAGGTTAGAAATTTTATGTGCCAAAGATGCAAACTCATCCTTGGTCCTTGACCCATCCATAGTATCTAAGTAATGGACTGTCGGCGTTGACCTATCACCATCATCTTCAGCATTCATTATGATCGAGCTTTCAACCAGCAAGTGTTCACTGCCAATATCGAGAGGAGCGTAAAGGTCCTCATCAGGGTCACCCAGGATTACAAAGTCTGGTTCATATACCTCCAAAATCTCCTTCTCAAGAGTTTTACGTTCTTCGCGAGTGTTGGAAGCATCGACTAAACAGTTATGCAAATGGTCAGAAACAAGGTCTCCCAATTTATCATCATCTGATTGTACCACTTTTTCCTTCTTCACATTCAGCTGACCCTCGGAATCTTCGGCAGGCATTCCCTCAGAAACATTTGTTTGGATTTGATTTGGAATTCTTACCTTGAATTCGGCGTCTCAGAGAGAAATTTGGTCAGCAGTCTTCTTTTGCACCCTTTCCATTTTATCATTATGTCGACGTTTTAACCCCATTCTAACGGATTCCATTTGGTTCGTTGGAAGTAACAAATCATGCAATCGATACACCAAATTTTGCCCAATTTTACACACTTAAAATATCCATTGATATAATGAAAGAAAATATTATTTCACATTTTTCGAGTGCGACGCGAAATATTTTTTAAAGAAAGAAAAACATTTGATGAAATTTTTACCTCCAACAAAAATAATAAACGCGTTCTTCTTTTTTTTTTTTTGGATCATTTAGTTTACTTTACTTTTTCTAGTTTTTGAATTTATAAACTAAGTTCGTAAGAAAGGGGATTACTCATATCCTTCCCACTTGTGTTAATAGTAAAACGTACATAATCATGTACATAAATCCTAGTCAATATTCCAAAGCATTTCTGGAAATAAAACGATCATCATTATCCCATTCCACTTGCAAATTGGTGTTATTTGTTTCATGTTTAGATATTGATTCATTATGTGCAGCAAAGATTCTCAGTTTATTATTGAGAAAAGAGTTAATCCAGTATCAATTGATTCCTGTTGTCGGGTATACTGATTTAAAACAGCATTTTGGTAAGTTGGACGATGATGTGACGAACATTATTTTAGTAGGATGTGGTGCTATGTTGGATTTAGAAGGATTTTTTGAGTTGAATCCCGAAGATTATCTTTTGGGTGAACAGCCAAAGGGATTTGAAACTGATTTGAGGCTAGATATGTCGAAGGAAAAGAATATTCAAATGAGAAGGAAAATATATGTTATTGATGGACATAGGCCATGGAATTTGGATAATATATTTGGATCTGCGATGGTTGTATGTTTAGATGATGGATACATAGATGCATCATTAGATGCGGAAAAAGGTGCATACAAGACATTGGTGGAGCAATTCAATGAAGATGAAGATGAAGAGTCAGATTCGGAATCCAGTGAAGACGATAGCGACATGAGCGACAAAGAAACCGACGCCGACGAGGAGTCTGATAGCGAGTTGGTGATTCATTCTCAAGATTCAGAAGAAACTGTATCGAGGAAACGTAAGCTACAAGAACTGAAAACGAATAAAATAAAGAAACAAAGGCGAAAAATCAAGACCCAGAATGAAGATAAAATTCAAGAATACTATAATCAAGGTACAACGATAATTACTTCAAATTCCATCACAATTTATGGGCTATTGACAGCGATTGGTGAAACTAGTATTGACAATTTATGGCTTGCAATTATAGGTACTTCCGCATTGGATAATCAATTTCCCGAAGTTTATGATAAATTACAGCCGTTGTTGAAAGACGAAGTTCATAGATTGAGTCCTTCAACTCAAGAGGTTGGTCACAACAAAACAGCAGACTCTTCAGCCCTCAGCATAGAACGAGATTATCATTTGTTTTTACTACGACATTGGACTTTATATGATTCGTTTTTTTATTCGAGTCATGTAAACTCTAAATTAAATCTTTGGACCGAAGATGGGAAAAAGAAATTGCATAAATTATTTGCCAAGATGGGGGTATCACTAGCAGCAGCTCAACAAAAATGGTTATACATGGACGTCAGAATCAAGAAACAATTACCTCTGATTTTTAACCATTATCTTCCAATGTATGGCCTTGAAGGGATAGTTCGTGAAGGCTTTATTCGAACTTTTGGATATACAGGCCAGCTATCAGCAATGGAATCCGTTGAAGCTTTAACTGCATTACTTGAGCTTGGCAAATCCGTATTGAATACAGGGGATAGCTATAATAATGACAATGATGACGATTTGGAAGATGAGGAACAAAGAATAGCTAGAAAGTTAGAAAGAAAAGAAAAGGCGTGGGTTAATAATTTCTGGTCTTCTTGGGACGCATTAAACTTGAAATCAACTCAATATTCAAATAGCAACACAAAGTCCACATTTAAGAAAGCCAAGGGGTTTGAATTATTGTGTCAAGGTTTGGAGCATGCCAAACAAATCCAACAAATAATATTCCGTACAGGTATGTCATTACTTGAAAGAAAAATGATCCGGAACTTGAAGTTATACAGATTATGCGTATTGAATGATGGTTCCATTCCGGACTTGGCTATCTTTAATAATCCATTGATGTTAACAAAGTTGGGTGGTTGGCTAATGGAGAATATAACTGAGCTTGACTTCATGAATGGAATTCAATCACTTAAACCATTGGTAGTCGCAAGTTTGGATGTCGCAAGCGACACATATCTAGTCATTGGGCTTGCTCCTAAGTATCCGAGGGGTATGGATAATGCGACCCGAGCCAGATTAGCACAAGAACAAAACACTCAACTGCTGGGTGAAACATTCACTGCTAGATTAAACACATTTAGTGTCGCTTTTCAACAATTATCAAATACTTCTGGAGCAAAGGTGAGAATCGATAGCTTTGATAGTTCCGTTATTGAAATTAGAAAGGATGATTTGCTGCCTTTCTTGGAGCGTCTCACCTTAAGTGGATTGATATAAAAAGTATATAGGTGAATAGGTTGTAATATTATAGAAGAGAAAATAGACGGTTAATGTAGAACTTAGCAGACATGTGTTTCGTAATTTGTTTCAGATTTGCAGCCAAAATCTATACAGGAAAATCTATTCAAATGCTAAATGAGTTCCAAATGGTCATCTCTAAGTTGCCACTACCTATTTCTTTATGCGAATCAGCTACAAGTCTGGTGTTTTGAAAGAACGAATACAATAACGAGGTTGTTTGAGCACTTCTAANATCAGCTACAAGTCTGGTGTTTTGAAAGAACGAATACAATAACGAGGTTGTTTGACCACTTCTAACAAATCAATGATTTTGTGCAAATGTTACCCGGATCAACCCCACCTCGTAAAAAATGGATTTAATTTTTAAACCGAACTATGAATCCGAATCTGTGAAATACTCTACCCAATGAAGAATGTCACTCAAAGTTGCCATTGGACAATTATGCTCATCTTCAAACTTAGGTCGTAACCTCAACACAGTGATTAAGATATTAGATAAGGCACAAGCAAGCAATGCTAGAATACTTTTCCTTCCAGAAGCTACGGATTACATCCTGCGAAATTCACAACATTCACAAGAATTATCAAAGGGAGTCGAAGCACAATTCCTTAACCCATTGCTAAAGAGAATCAAAGAATCAAATGGGAATACGTATGTCTCGATTGGAATTCACTTGCCTGGGATTAATAGAGTGAAAAATTTACATGTTTTAATTGATCCTCAAGGGAAGGTGATATCGGAATATCAAAAGATACATCTATTTGATGTCGACGTCCCCAATGGGCCAATTCTCAAGGAACTGAATTCGGTTGAACCTGGAAACAAAGTTGAAGAACCAACAACAATTGATGGATTCAACTTAGGACTCGGAATTTGTTATGATATCAGATTCCCTGAGCTTGCGCTTTCTTTAAGGAAAAAGGGAGCTGATATAATCACTTTCCCAAGTGCATTTACAACAAGAACCGGGGAAGATCATTGGGAGTTATTATCCCGAGCACGTGCCATTGATTCTCAATGTTTTGTAATCAATGCGGCCCAATGTGGATATCATGATGTTGGAAAAAGTGAAACAGGAGAAGTTATAAAGAGAGTAAGCTATGGTGATTCGATTGTAGTTGATCCATGGGGCAATATTCTTGGCAGAGCAAGCAAATACACGGACACTCCAAAGTTAGAGGAAGATGGAGACTACTCTGAAGTCATCTTTGCAGATTTGGATTTAGAAAAACTTAAGAAAGTAAGAGCAAATATGCCACTTTTGGATCATCGTCGCCCTGAGATCTTTGGAAGCATACAATTGAATCCTTTTAGGTCGGAGCGACTGTATTCTCAGATTTGCGAAATGGAATATTACAGGTGAACAATTTTTGAAATTGCATTATATATCTATGTAATTGATTAAATAAGGTTCCAATAAACGATTGGCGAAACTAAGCCCAAACTTGAAGCTGTTCATAGAAGTCAACTCTATTTTTATTTGGGTTACTAATATTTTGGGCACAATAATATCTAAGTTCATCGACCATAATTGGATGACCACATGTTACAAAACCAATTGAACCAGCAGAATGATTAACTTCATCACGAACAAGTTCTTCAATATTTGGTCTACCTTCTTTGAACTGGATATGGGATAATTCGGATTTTACCAACTCAAGTATTCTCTCTTTCTCTTGATCATCACAGGTGTCCAATTTCTCTCTGGACGAGTTCTTTTCACTTGTATCTTCGGAGCTTATATCTGAACTTGCAAATCTAGAACGGAATTCTTCTACACACACAAGGTTATTTGGTTTGGTGACATAAATTGTAGTTTCTATGTTGACATTCTTCAAGCTTACAAGTTGTTCGTAAAACCAGAATAATGATCTATATTCTCTGACAACCCAAACCAATTTTAAGACCTTGTTGCTATTTTGACCAGCTCTTAAAGCAATATCGAGAACTTCCGAGTAAATACCTGGGATACCATTACCACCAGCAACGAAGACAGCAGTATCGGCAGTTCTAGCAGCAGTTGGTTCACCATATGGACCTTCGATGGCCACTTTCATCTTTATAGCCTTACCTGGGGCCTTAGTTAACAATTGGTACAAACTATGAGTGATACCTCCCTTAACCTTGACGTACAAGACAATATTATTCTTTTCTTCAACGGATTCAGTGAAAGTGAATGGATGTGATTGCCAGAAATAAGTTGGCTTTAAGAAATGAATGAAGGCATGACCACCAGGAATTGATTTCCAATAGCTTGGCTTTGGAACGACAACCTTAATGGTTTCATCAGCAAGCAAAATAACATCAGATGTTGGGAAACCGAATGCAACTAAACGTCCGATTCTAACAGCTCTATCCAACGCCCAGACAGCTACAGAAGGATAAACGAACCAGATATAACCCAATTCTTCAACATGAATCCAGGTACCGACCACCCAAAGTACAGCCATGGCAATATGTATCAACAAGAAGATTTCGTACCATCTTCTTCTAAAGAACAACATAGCTTGAACTAAAATGATCCCTCCAGCAACCGTAGCAACAGTACCCCAAATCAAGTATTCTTCTTTCATATCTGCAGCATAACGTTCTCCAAGGAGAATACTGAAACCAACAGCATGAATAACTACTAAAACAAACATGATTCTGGCAGTATGACGATGATATGCCATGAAAGCAGTATAGTTGTAACCAGAAATCCACTGTAAAAAGTTGTTTCGACCAGCAAACAAGATAGTCAATGGCATCATAATAGTAGCAACAATACCTGTTCTATCAGAAACATATCTTAATTCTGCATCATATTTGGTAAGGAAGACAGGATCTTGATCTATGGCAGTGATATTGATACAATGGATCACAACAACAAAGACATAGAAAAGGAAAATGACAATCGATTCAAAACGGGAAGGTAATAACCAATCAAATATTTTCCAGAACCCTTGCTCTTCTGACTTCTTTCTTCCAAATGCTGCAGGCATTGAAACGTGCTTTCTCCAGAAGTTAATAACGGGATTGGTAAGTTTCTTTGTGAACCCTGGGAATAAAAATTTAGTCCAGTTTGTGATAGCTCCTATAACAATGATTAATAACCAATACATTAAAGTAGAAGTACCATAGAATAAGGAGTCATCGTAATTGCCCAAGAAAATTGAATAAGCATCATTAAATCTATTCATGGATGTTTCATTCAATATGAAAGGAACATTAATGGGTATACTTCTATTAAAGCCTTCAATTTCACGTGCACTTTTGGCATACTTATTAAATCTTTCAAGAGCAGAATCAATCCAATCATGCTCAAGTTCAACGTTACCATTTTCACAGAATTCACCCATTTGATGAAGAGCCGCTTCCGAGATCCTATTCTTGTATGCAAGACAACCAGCATAAGTAGCAAGGGCATTCTCATTTGTACACAAGCAACTATAATTGAATGGTTTTGGACAGAACAGAACTTCACGATTAATTTGAAGATTACAAGCATAAACTGGTATACCTCCACCATAATGGACATATTCACCACCACCACCATGGGCACTGACAGCTATTAAGAAAAATGCTATACTTGAAATTAAGGAACTGAGCATTTTCTATGGAGTTGTTTTTCGAAGTTGTTAAAGAAAAGGTAAAGACAGGAATATAGAGACAAAACAAGGAGACTTTATACCACCAAAGGGGGACTACGTAGTTCTTTATTATATGCAAATTTTTCAATTTTAAAACAGTAAGCATCGATCATGATTGGTGAAAATTTGCAATAAGTATAAGTTGCCGATTTATCTTTTTGATCTAAAAAAATAATATTTTTCAGCCACAAATTTGCAACTTATTTTGCGAGGGAAATTATTTTCAGTAATTGTACCCGAGAAATAATTTATTCTATAAAATAATTGTAATTATATTCTTATTCAATTTTATTTCGAAACAAACCGTTACGGCTCAATTGAAATTTCCGCCCTGATTGATGCATCTCCAACTAGCGACTATACCCAAAATGGTTTAATAGGTGCAGTTACTTTATTGAAAGGGTTTCTATTGTTGACCTGGAGCCAATAGTAGAATTGTGTTTTCGGTTTCTTCCAATTAACAACGTATATTGTTTTCCAATAGTGACCAGGACTAAAAGTCATGGTAGAGAGCTTGGCAGTGGGTTTGTGTTCTTTCAATGCCAACAGTTGAGTTACAATGGCGATGACTAATTTGCCTAATCACAAGATTATGAAAATACGAAGGTCTTCTGAATCTTGATGCAGTTTGGGCAGGTTGAAATACATCGTCATGAAAACCATACTCTATTTAAAAGTAACAGTCACAAAACACAAAGAGATTGCTGCCAAGAACTCGATAGAGCGGCTTGACACAATCCAAGAAATTTACAGGCATTTCTTTTTAGACATGCCTTAGATATACATTGGCTACAGGGAATGTCTTTAATTTGAATTCGTGAGGAAGTTATTCACATGAAGAGCACCCTAGATGATTTTTTAGATATAAAAGAAGAAAGAAGTACAAAAAAGCTTACAAGCCACGAACGTTCAAACAATGCAAGAGGATTGTCCGTCCTCACAATGAAATTCTACAATACTCTAGATCTAGACTCCAATGTCCGTCGTGAAAAAGATTAACAATAAATTCCAAAGCCATTATTGAGGGTAAACGAGACATCTTTTAATAAAACGGCTGCTGCGCAATATGTAGATATTATATTTATGCGGTTCATAATGCAAATCATCTTTGTGACAGACTTATCTTTTCGATCTTTTGCTTATCCGCGGAACACCATATCCGCACAAACGGTTAAGTATTATTTTAGGTGCAAAAAAAGAAAAACAGCATGGAGAAGACTACAGGTTAATATAGTTCAAGAAATTCACTTTTATGTCCTCGAACGTATCAATAAGCCTGGATCTCAGAAGTTTGAACAAGATATTTGTGAATAGTACCTCCTAAGATCTTCATGTAAAGCTAATAATAGAAAATTTACTCAAGTTTTATTAAACATGTTTATACATTTTTATTTATATAGCTATTCCACAACTTCAGATGAGAAATGTTAGCTTCAAACCATTTTCTTCACCCAATTCAAACTTGCCATTGAACAGCATTAGCTGACAACAATATGAAAGCTTCCAATCGTTTGTTATGCACATACTCTACAGTTCGCTATGCAACAGTAGCTTACTCATACTGAGAGTCTTGTTATCTCTGGTCGCAAAGAGTATTGGAAAAATAGGCGAGCTACTCTCAGGCGAGATTTGCAAATTGCCTTGGGTGTATGCCCCCAGGAACCCGGTTGCAATTGCAAATATAAGATTAAAGATCGTGAATACAATTAGGATCGATATTTTATTGTTAGTTTTCGTTACTTGGAGAACACAAATTGAATAGTGAATGGGTGATTTTCGAAGTCTTACACAAAAGTTCTTGTGGAAGAGATAGTCAGTGGGGACTATTTGTTTTTTGTTTCAAGTAATATGAAAATTTAAATGGCGAATAATAACCTTCCCAGAATTGCCCGTGTGATCCCACACTAGATTCATCCAATCACTTCTTTGGAAGCCATAGACCAATCAATGGGTGGAAGTAGTTTGAAATCATTGCTCAACGATGGTTGGCAAATTGATATTTTTTGGCCGTTTCTGCAGGGTATTGTTTGAAAAATTTCCATCTAATTTCTTGGCGACACATATTTTTTTATGTATAGCGCCAAACTTCAAACTAATTATCAAAAGGATCAAAATTACACAAAATCCGACATTCGGTCACCTGAAGAGCTTTATATTCAGTGAAATTCCAATTGGTTGTAATTCCAGAGCAATTTAATTTAGACCCCTTTTTGGATTCCGCGGAATTACTCCAGAAGATTGGTTTGTTGACTCCGGAAATAGTAAGCAGTTGCAGTTCATCTTTGAAATGTTTACATGTACACTACTACCTCGGTTAACGCATCCAACAAAAGCATGAACAAGAAGACCACACAAAAACTAAACTAGTTGTAGCTAATATAAATCTGTCTTACATGTTCTGAGATCAGTCTATTTCTCAGAAGTCGTTTCAAAGAGAAACTCCTATCCAAAGGGACTAGCATGTTTTTAACTTTGCTAAGGGTAGATTTTAGGAACAGCCATTATTCTCTTAACAAGAAGTTTCACTTCATTTAATAATGTAAGTTTTACTGCTAACAATAAATGCAAATACCTCTCCATTGGAGAAGTAACTGAAGGAAAATAAAAGATATTGCCGTGGAGCTAATATGGTCATTATTTCCATTAGAGCTCTTCTACCCAGAATCTCTTAGATTTCCTCATCAATCTTGTTGCCAGACAGTTGTCCGCCGATACAAAATAAACGAGAAACATCTGAACTGGTAGCGCCAATGTACTCCACAAGCTAAGGCAACACGCAACTTCGACAGCATTTTGGGATGGCGATAGATACGAGGAAAGTAAAACTATCAATATAGTTGTTTGGTCTTGGCAAATAAACTAGATTTGATCGAAAACAGACAATGGAGATACCCAGACTGACTTAACAAAAGGAAGCAACGACAGTACGAGACCAGATAGATCTTAGGGAATAGGTTATAGTGAATTGAAGGTTGGAAAGGAGAAGCACCGAGTGAACAACAAAATTTTACAGGGAGGGTTTCTCCACTATTTCTGGTACCAGCTCAAAGAATTTGGTAAGAATCAACCATCATCCAACTAAATAGAATACCGAAAGAGAGAACTATTGGGAGAAGAGCCCCATTGGTACTGTTGACCAGTAGTAATGTATTGTGACAGAGAGCCCAAGAAAAGTTTGGCACATCAAGTCATCAGCCCATAAAATCTACTCCAAATTATAAAAAAAATAGGTGGTTTAGCTTGAACACTAAACTGAAATTGCTGATCTAGAAAGTGTCCCCGCAGACATTATACCTTGATGAAGAATCAGAAAGAAGTACCTGCATAACCACCATGAGGGATTTTCTATTCTTTGGAGAAAATGTATGATTTTCAATAAGTTGATGTTACTGGGACAACATGTATCTAAAGAAATTTATTCTCTCATAAATTGTTCATTATTCATAAACTGAAATTTATAGAAACTAAAATCGAAAACGGGGAAAAGGTAAATCAGAACAACCGTGAGATCTATTAAAGTCACATGTGAATTATGGTTCAAGATCTATAGCATTCACAAACAAGAGTACAATAAAGTTCGGATCGGCTTTCAAATGTAACCTTTTAATAAACAGGAAATAATAAGAAATAAACTTAGAGATCTGAAAAAAATAAATAAGATCCGGTAGGTCGAAGCACGATTAGATCTGTATGTCGAATGTTTCCCCCTATCCTCCTCTAAACCCAATTGGATTTCTCTAAGAGAAGATCGCAATTGTTTCCTAAATTTGACTTTTAAAAAAGATCCTTTTATCCTTAAAACTTCTAAATTACTGCAAAAACATTTCATATGAAAATTGTGAAAAGTGATAAAAGAAGAATGAGGGGAGTGAAATCGAATTTGGAAAAGGGCCAGACTATTTGAGGAGAGACTCATTATAAGCTGGGCGTGCATGTTGAATGATGTCTACCATCACCCTCTCTCCACCGAACAGAACCAATCTCTTCTAGTATAATATGCTTACAAATATTTGTGGGTGAGTTGATGCAGTTGATGTTAAATTTATGGTTGCAAAAGAAAAAAATATATCAGTGGCTGGAATGATCGCTTCCAGATTAGGAAAAACTTGTGGGGGGAATTTATGGTTTGCGATAAGATGACTCCTGCGAGGGGAATATGACTCAAGTTACAATATTTATGCTCCGGGGTCTTCGTAATATTTTTGACATAGCCCCAGAGCATCAACATTGACCACGCCCAGAAGTTATTGTGTATTGTTCTATGCTGTATGCATTTGACATCAGCCTGGTCCAATGGTACGATTTTTTTTTGCTGGTACACATGGCTCTTCTCTTACGTCATACTCTGAACACACCATTTTTAAAAATCCAACGGTAAAGAACAATAAGAATTTAATGCAGGAGAATTTTGTTAGCCACAAGGAAACCTGCATATATATCAGCTTTTAAAATTTAATTGGTTCAAGATAAAAAAAGATGATTCACATTGTAGAAGTTTAATTGTTATTTAAACTTTTAGTTTGAAGTTTACACCCCTCTATACAAGTTTAATGAATTTACACTTAGTAATTACATGTTAATTAATTAATTAATTAATAAATAAAAATTTATATTATGTTATCCCTGATATACATAAAGAAAAAATGCCAACTAAATAATAATAATAATAAGAATATGTTAAACACATAAGAAAGAACTAAAAATAATGAATGAAGTCATGAAACAGGTATCATATACATATGTACAGTCGTAAATATTAGAAAACCCCCTTTTAAGGTTTTCTTACCGGACTAGCAGTGATGATTTCATCATTTGAGTATACAATTGGTTCAAAGTATGGAGAATCATCGCTTGATGATGTTTGAGCAGCAGTACTGGTTGATTCTTGTGTAGATGTAAATACATTGTCGTTGGATACAACTGAAGCATCGGTGACATTGTTAAAGTTGATGCATCGTTGTCTTGAAAAATGTTTTGCGAATAGTTGTGATTTTGGTAATTTAGTATTTAAAGGCATCCAATGTCTGGAAGCAGTCTTGAAGTGGGCGACAGATAAGATTCTTTTAGTAACCATTATGAATTATATTTATTTGTTTGTGTTATGAATGTAATGTGTAAGTTTGAAAAGTTGTTATTGATGAAATAAAAAGATGAAAATTAAAATGAAATTTATGGGAGATTTGATGATTTATTTATACTTGATAAAAAACTTGGAAAAGTATTTGTACATGCAAAACCCCAGAAAAATAAAATTAAAAAAAAAGATTCTTTTGTCCGAAATCATTAATCAGTCCGTTGCTCCGTAATTTTTTTATTTAATAAATATTTTTTTTTTCGGAATGTGAAAATTGAGTCATTGCTATACAAGAAAAAACTATCCACGGATGACAAATTTACTCTATGACTCGGTGATACTTATATTTCCATTGTTTTTTATTAATTATAAATGGAAAAATAAAAAAATCACCTTATACTTGCAACTTTTTATTTAAAAATTAAATTAAGTTAGACTAAACGACAGGAGTCTGGATGTAGAAACTCTTACAGGTGTAATCTCGGTTGTCATCCATCGATTAATCTTTACGTCGTCCTCATTTTTAAGTAAATCTACAGAAAATAGAATTGTATTACTCGTAAGATGAATTGGTCTTATTTCATATGGCATGGTACTTGTAATAGCCACGTTCTAAAGCTTCCGCCCCTCCGTCGAGATTGACATATAAAAAATGAAAGGGACTTTCAGAGGCCGAAGAAAAAATGGTTTCATTTTTAATACAAAAAATATTTTTATTGTTCTCACAAAACGAAAAGACTGATAACGAATAAAGTCGTGTATCCGATACCAAAATTAGTCATTTTGAATTCAAAAACAAAAAAAAATATTTCCGTTGTCCCGGGGTAAAATTTTTATCATTTTTGTACACCGGACACCGACAAACTACGGGATTTGATTGGGCTTGGAATTTACAGTATCATATTTTTTTTTTTACATTTTATGATTTCAATTTTTACATGTTAATTGAGCAATTAAATAATATAAACTTACCAGGGGTAATTCTTCTGGCTTGCTTTCTCATTGTAAATTGGCAGCATTCCCCATAATTCCGACATGTGATGTTAAGTATCAAGCATACTCTCTATACTCTCTAGTACGGTCAGTTTGCCATTAGATAATTGTCAATTAAATTTTTGGTCTTCTAGTTTTGTGATACTAAATGACTACATCCGTTCCCCCACGCAAATCCTCCAACCACCAATTCTCTAAATCTAAAAACTTTACACCAAAACAACTAAACCAAAAAAAACTTCAACAATGAAATTTTTTATATTGTAAACTCAGTCATTCTTTTTCTCTTTTCAAGTAAAACCAAATACCAGAATATCCAAAAATATCCGTTTATACCTTCTAAACTTTCTTAAATTATACTTACCTTTTCAATTTAAAGTAAGATATTAAATCTATACCCTTGACACACACAATCTTTTAAAATAATCATACAAACAAGCATACTTTAACATCTTTTCATTATCATCATGGGAACAGGTTGGGAATTAACCCAAGCTCTAAAAGAGAAGATCTTTCAATATGCTACACATAACCAAACACCCATTTCATTGCGACAAATGGTTCAATTTGGTCCGACGCCTTCTCCAGGTTCAATATTTTTAGCATCAAAATTCATAGTTGAAGAATTACCAATTCGATTAGCTAAAAAAGTTAAAGATTTAGATAATGCTCCACAACAATTAAATTTATCACCATCAACAATTAAAGTGAAAAATTGGTATGCTCAATCATTTCAAGAATTGACTGAATTACCAAAACCGAAAATTGATGAAAAATTGGCTAAAATGTTATTTCAAAATGGGAAATATGAATGTAGAGATGAACCTCTAATTGCCAATGAAGCCGATAATCCAGCTATAAATAATATTTTTAGTGATGATGGATTATTAGTTGTTCGTCATCATCATCACGCTCATCGTCATCATCAACATGAATCCCATCAACCACATGCTACACAAGAGGAACCTCAATCTAATCAATCGTCGATTATATCACCTACATTTGGAATGACTTATTTTACACCTTGTCCCATGAATATTATCTGGCCAAAGGAAGTCTATGACTATAATAAGCTCGTTTGTGATGCATTGACGGTGATTAAAAAACGTCACGATGCTACAGTAGCAACAATGGCTCAGGGTGTACAAGAATGGAAAACTAGTCATAAAACCGAGATTGTAAATTCACAAATCCAAACATTCTTGGATCGGTTTTACATGTCAAGAATTGGGATTCGTATGTTAATTGGTCAACATATTGCCTTGAACCAAGCCCAACATTCGCCTGTCAAACAAAGAATTAATTCATTTTTGAATGGATCTGAGAGTGTTAGTCCAAAGAAAAATTCAAATTATGTTGGAATTATATGTACTGATTGTAATGTGAGTGAAATTGCTGAAGATGCAATTGAAACTGCTAGATATATTTGTGAAGATTTTTATGGATTATTTGAATCTCCTACCATTCAATTAATTGCCCCTCTGAATCCAGTTAATTTCATGTATGTTCCTGGACATTTGATACATATGTTATTTGAAACCTTAAAGAATTCTTTAAGAGCCACAATTGAATTCCATACTCCAAGATTAAAACAAAAAATGATTGAAGAAAATCCGAATTTAAAATTTGAAGAGATTGATATTAATGATTTAAAATTCCCACCGATTAAAGTTATCATTTCTGAAGGAACTGAAGATATTGCCATTAAGATCTCGGATGAAGGTGGAGGTATTCCAAGGTCATCCCTTCCATTAGTCTGGACATATCTTTATACTACCGTTGATGAAACACCTACCTTAGAACCAGGATTCAATCAAACCACATTCAAGGCCCCAATGGCTGGGTTTGGTTATGGATTACCTATTTCTAGATTATATGCCCAATATTTTGGAGGTGATTTGAAATTGATTTCAATGGAAGGGTATGGAACAGATGTATATTTACATTTGAATAGATTGAGTAGTTCTAGTGAACCTCTACCTTGACTCGCAGGTGTGAAGGGTACTGCTCGAATTGGAAGTTTTTTAAGTGTTTTATTTGGTTACGGATTGATATTTGGTTTACTTATCTGGTATTAAAAAAAAGAAGCAAAAACTTTGGTTTGATTTATTATTATTATTATTTATTATATTTATTTATCTTTATTAAGAACAAAAACAGAACTGGTTAGTTTATTTCTCATGTATAGATCATATTGAGTTTATTAGATTATGTTTTGTATAGCAATCTTTAAAAATAAAGGCATAATTATGACCTAACTACACACCTTCCACTCGCTCTAGATTATAACTTTTGCACCCATACCGGAAAAGCCTCATTTCCAAGTCTTCCCGTTTTATTTTTACCAACAGATCAATTTACAGGTTAGAGTTTTTACTTCTTGGCCCCAAGTCCCGAGCTTTTCTCGAAAAGTTGATAATTTCCTCGGGACTAGACCTTTCGGATATTGATAAATGTGTTATTTCCTTCGGCAACCATTTCCGTAATATTTTTTAATTATTCATCATGGCTCAGCGTTTTGTTTATTTTCCGAGTTGACGTTTTTCTCGACAATGTCAAAATGCCAAGATCATACCATCAACTCCGGGGAATTGAGTCATCCCGAACCCCCACGGGGGATGCATGTCCGATAAAATAAACCAAGGGAAATATATTCTCCCGATAACAAACCAGAGAGATAAGAAATCGACAGGTGCGCTGAGTCAGAACAATCGGGGATATACACCCGGGATATACTCTTTTTAAGGAAGCGAAATGGAAAATGGTAGTCCGAAAAACCTGCTTTTGCAGGAAATGGGAGATTTCCCACTTGTATTGCTTCGTGAAAGTTATTTTGCTCTTCTTCCCTTGAAATCGGAAAACAAATCCATCACGTAAACTAACCATTGGTCGGGTAGCTAATTCAGTACGAAAGAATTACACCGCCACATGAAATCCAGTCAAACAGTTTACAAACTGTATCTCCACCAATTCCTTCAGCTTCATTGAATTACCATTAAATTCTCCACAAATTCACCATCTCAACCATAGAAGACCATCTGTAATTCTTCCCAAGTTCTATCACTATCCTTGAGATCCACGTCAAATTCTTATTCTCATTCTTCTTTCTAATTCCAACCTAGATTAAGTCAAGCCATCTTCCCTTGAAATCAGATAGCAAATCCATCAGACAAACTATCCATTGGTCAGATGGATAGTTCAGTGTGAAGGATTAAACTGACCCATGGAGTCGAGTCAAATTCTCAGATGTAGTATTCCGATTCACCACGTCCTCTTTATTGAACTCCACATCAAGTTCTCCACAAATAACCGATAATCCACCCGATTCACCACTATTCCAATACTTCTACCACCGCCATTAAAATGAAAATTCAAATCTCTGTGGTCAGCACTCAAACTCTTGCACCACCACCAACAGTAAAATCCAGTTTTAGATCTCCACCACTGATATTGCTCCAGTACTCCATCAAAATTCCAAGTCAAATCTCCACCCCATCAACATCAAGATCCAAATTCAAGTCACCAGTCTACATTGATATTCCTCCACCACCAAAATCCTTGATACTCCTTCACCAACATTATCTAATTCAAATGAGAACCTCCGCCACCACTATTGAAGCTTCCCCAATACCATCATCAAAATCAAAATCCCCCCCCCCCTCCGCATCACCAACATTGAAATCCACATTCAAATCTCCATCTACCAAAATTGAAACTGACATGAAATGCGCGTCGCCGAAGTTGAATTCCACATTGAAAGCTCCAAAACCAATATTGAAATCTCCATCATCACAATTCTAGTGTCCATAAAAATCCACATAACCACGATTGAAATTGTCCATCACCAGAAATTGAAATCCAAATCCAATTCTTGCTCCTCATTCTGATTCCAACCTAGATTGAATCAAACTTTATTCGATGTCAGATAAAAAACCATCACAAAAACTAGCCATTGGTCAGGTGGATAATTAAGTATGAAAGATTAAACCCAATTCCTGAAATCTCTCCAAATTGAATCTTCACTAGTTCTTCATCTGGATATTTCATTCTTTAAATTCTTTTGTGGTTTTGCATTTGCATCTTAATATAATTGTGGTTGAAACTTTGATTTAAAAATAATGATTATTGATATAAGCAGTGGAGTAAAAGATAAAGTCAGTTAATTCTTCAATCATAGTAGTAAACTCAACACTTGTGGATCAAGTGAAACCTTCTTCCATTGAAATCAGATAAAAAACCATCACACAAACTAACCATTGGTCAGGTGGCTAATTCAATATGAAAGGATTAAATCCGATCCCTGAAATTCAGTCGAACTCTCTCCAAATTGTAGCTTCACTGATGATCCGAAAGTTTTATTCTGTATTCTTTTTTTGTGGTTTTGTACTTGTGTCTTAATAATGGTTGAAACTTTGATTTAAAAATAATAACTAATGAAATAAGTAGTGGATTGAACGATAATGGAAGATAAGGCTTCATTCATAGTAGTAAACATAGTGATTTGTTGATGGTAAAGGAGTAGTAATGTATTGTTAATTGTCTTTGGAAGAAGTTTCAATTTCGTTTCTGTGGTTTGTACTTTCATTTCTGTGGATTAATTGCCCCAAATATATTTCATTTCCCTCTAACACCTTCACGCCAAGAATACTTCTTTTAACATTGAAAGACATAACTGACTTTGTTGGATTGGTGATGAGATTTAGAAGATTGTTGATTGAATACAGTATTGAATTGGTTGATTTCTTTGTGAAAAAGAAAAGAAGAAAAGAAAATGAACATTTAATTTTTTTCGCAATCTGGCGTGTAAATAATGCTGCAAATTTTCGTAGCAATTCTGGAACTGGCACAAAAAAAAACAGAATCTAGACTGCAGTCGACCATTGACCACCAAGATCAATTCTAGCCATAAGTTTGGTGGTAAAGGGCAATCTAGGAACGGTAATTTTCTCGTAATGAATTTCTCTTTATTGTATCTGAATAATGAATACAATTAATTTAAGAAGTTCATTCTCTGTTGGAAATTTGATCAATTCTAAATTGATATATCAATAATGTACAGCATATATGTGTTGCCCATGTAGCGACTGATTGATGAGCTGCGAAATAACATCATGACATCACTATATCGATTATCTCCCATGTAACCATTGTATCAGGTGGCCTGACTACTTCAGTCTATCAGTCCTAGTGCTACCCATTTTGTTTTGGTGGATAAGAGAGATTTAATTTGCAACAAAATTTTTCTTACGACCAAATTGAATTTGTTGTTAAAATAAATTGATAAGCCAATTCAACAAAGAAATAACCCTTGGAATTATGGTAGAAAGAGATTGAGCACAAGAAATTAAGTACGAACATCAATAACATTCTCTGTGATCATTATGATCATTTCCAGTTGTAAATCCAGAGGAGACCCAATATAGTCACTTTCAGTTGTGGTTATCGAAAGGGACTATTTAAAAAACAATTCTGCCACAACTAAAGAATAACATTGGACTAAGAACATAAAATCCCCTTGAATAAGTGCTGTAGAATTAGCTTTGAACTACTGAACCGTGATAGTTGAAGAAACAGAATTTTTTGCAGCCACTCACCAACAATCCTTCTATGGATAGTACACGCTAACAAATCAACTAATTAATCTTAAAAGGACTCCAATAAATCCAAATTAAGCTTCTATTAGAGCTCATTGAGATTTCTGAACAATTGAAATAACCTCAGGCTAAGTTATTTGAGATGAACTATTGATAGTTGTAATTTCATTGGAATTGCAAACATTTGGTCGTGTATAACCACTCAAAAAAATAAGTGTTTGTACCAATGGTTATGATTACCGAGGATAAGAAAATCATATGGGAAACGGAAGTTCAATATAGTCGTGTAAACTAGTTCAAAATGACTACACAATTGAAAAATATTTAATTATTTAAACAAAATTGTGGGGAATTCTTTCTTTATATTTAATTTTGCCGTGGGAAAAATAAAAACTGATCGACGTAATTACTGATTGACCTTGATTGATTGATTGTTCTACCTTTTTTCCTTTCAATTGAATAAAAATCATCATCTCATCGTTTCTTTCTAGAAATTAACACATTTTTAATTACCAATAAGTTATTCTACAGGTATTTTGAAAAGAGCAGTCTTGCACGTGAGAGAACTTCCTAATAGAGACATCAATCACTGACTTCTATAATTAATTTAAACAAGAAAAACTTTTTTTTTTTTAATTTAAAGTTTTGAACGCAAGAAAAGAAAAAAAGAAATCAAGAAACAACACTTTCTTATTTAACCCTTGACATCCACACACCACACACACACACACCAATTTTATTAAGAAAAAGCCGCAAGCTCATCTCCATCTGTTGCATTTAGAATTCCACAAGAAATTAGGAACTCTTAATAAGATTTCATTGACAAACGCTCTACAACTCCCAGAAAAAAAGAAAAATAGTCACGTCCCCCCTTACTCAAATTACAAAATATGTCATCGTCTGTACCTAGAACAAAACCCTGGGAGGTATCATCAGGTACATCAGTTGCCGCTGCATCAGGTCAACCTGAATCCATCACCACATCCACTGACAATATAACAACAACTGGACAACCAGGTATTCCTGATCGTCCAAACTCACTCACAAATCCCGGGATAAATTCCATGGTTGATTCTTCTCCTTATGGAAGTAATTCAGCCTATGGAATGGGAAACTCATATGGATCCAGATACGGTTCTGGCATGTATGGGTCAAGTATGTATGGAAGTGGATATGGGTCCGGGATGTATGGATCTAGTATGTATGGAAGTGGATATGGTTCAAGTATGTATGGTATGGGAGGAGGTTATGGATCGATGTATGGAGGTGGATATGGTGGAGGTGGAATGTATGGATCAGGAATGTATGGACAACAACCAGGAATGGGCGGTGGTCCAATGGGTCCTTTAGCTGAAGGTACTCAAGCTACTTTTCAATTGATTGAAAGTATTATTGGAGCTGTTGGTGGATTTGCACAAATGTTAGAAGCGACATATATGGCAACTCATTCTTCATTTTTCACGATGGTGAGTTTAGCTGAACAATTTGGAAATCTTAAGAATGCATTAGGGTCATTATTAGGTATATTTGCCTTGATTAAATTTGTTAAGAAATTATTATATAAAATATTGGGTAAGACATATAATCATGGTCTTAATGTTGGAGAGTTTGCTAAATTTGAAAAGACTCAAAAGAAATTAGAAGAAAGCATTAAAAAACAACAATCTGGTACTGGAGGAAGATCAAGAATTTCTTTCAAACCACTTTTATTATTCCTTGCTGCATCTATTGGATTCCCATATTTATTAAGTAAAGCAATTCAAAAATTAAATGAACAAAATCAAAGAAGATTACAACAACAACAACATCTCAATCCAAATCCAAATAGTATAGATCCTGCCAATTTACAATTTGCTAAAACTTTATATGAATTCAATCCTGAAAATCCAAATATCGAAATTGAATTAAAACCAAATGAATTGGTGGCAATCTTATCTAAATTAGATCCATTAGGTAATGAATCTAAATGGTGGAAAGTCAGATCAAGATCAGGAAAAGTGGGATATGTCCCAAGTAATTATCTTTCTGTAATTGAAAGAAAACCAATAGCGAAACAAGTAGAGGCTGGTCCAGCACAAGTTTCTTCTCCACCATTAGCACAACAACTACAAAATGATCCTCAAAAGCCAGTGCCAATGGCGACTGAGAAAATTCCTGGAGGATTTGAAAAGCCTGAAAAATTGCTTGAAGAATTTAAAGGGTTTTAATTTATTTATAATTAATTAGTTCTTTTTTTTGATTTTATTTATAATAATAATTTAGTAAATAGGTATAAATATTTGTGATAGAAAGCAAAGAGAAAATACGAGTATAGATTTTTAAATGTATAACAGAATATCATATTTGGAATATAAAGACTAAAGCTATATATAAAAAAGGATCATCGCCAATAACATGCTAACCCAATAAAGAGTAAGATTTGACTCAATTTAATTAAAAATGGAGTAAAAGCACGATGTCTTGTAATTCTCAGCTATAATCCATCATCTGGTCTGTTTTGTTCAGTTTCAACTTTGGCACCTTTATCTTGTAAACTAGCATAGCCCCTCTTATTCGCTTTAACTTTTGAAATTGCATCATGTCTATGTTTAATAATTTGAGCAATCTCTATTCCATCAGCAAGAATCTTCCCCGTCTTTTTATTCAACAAAGCAGCTTCTTCTTCTGCCAAATGAGCAGCAGCCTCAGCACCATGAACAACCTTCTCACCCAATTCTATACCTTCAACAAGAATCTTCCCTGTCTTTTTATTCAAAATTTCTGCTTCTTCTTCGGCAAAATGAGCAGCTGCTTCGGCACCATGGACAACTTTTTCACCTAATTCTATACCTTCAACTAAAACTTTCCCGGTTGTCTTGTTGGCGATATCAGCGGCCAGCTTTGCTTCTTCGGCTGCGAATTTGGCACCTTCAGCAGTCTTATGGGCTACTGTTTCTGCAACTTCGATTTCTTTGGCTGCTACTCTTCCGAGTTTCAAGTTGACCCAGTGAAGTGTTTCTTTACATTTTTGGGCAATTGAGTAGGAACGGTATGAGGCTACGGTACGGAGATAGAGTGGAGTGGCGACATAGTCGCTAGTTCTTAATACTGTTGTGCGTAACATTGTTTGGATTCTAAATCAATCAATCGAGGAATATATGGGGGAATTGATGAAATTAAAATAAACAAAGAAAATAATTTCAATAATCAGGAGACTAAAAATTTATAGACTAAATGAAGGGCTTACAATGAAACAGCCCAAGAAATCTTGTGTTTGTCCAATCCCCAACGTTTTAAAGTTTTTTGAAAAGCATGATTACAATTAACAAATTTTGAAAAATGTATAAAGTATCCGGGGGGCTTGAATAAAAAAAAAACCCCTTAAAAAAACTCAAGCAAGATTTTTCGAGTGATCATGTGGTGCGTGGTTTCGAGAATTTTCTATTACCCGTGGGTAGTGTTCTATGGAAACAATGGGAATACTTTGCGATTGGCTTGTATAAGTGCGTTCTAATTATATGTTCTGTTTGTTATAGAAATTCCTATAACGAGATACCAATCAAAGCCACCAATAAAGTTGGAGAAATTACGCATTCCCAAATAGTCTCACCGGTGGCTGTTATTTGAAATTCATTATGAATTGATAATTCTCTATCCCATCCTTTGTTGTTAACTTTTAGAACCGTCCAATAAACTTCAAGGTGGAAAGGATAGTGTACAAGTGCCAAAACATGATCTCTTCCAAGTAGGCTTGCTCTTATTCTAGCCCCTCCCGCGGTGATAACCCCTGAACTGAAACGGCTGCAAAATAATAGCCAGGACGAAAAAAAAGGTGACCCTAACGAATGAGAAGAGAACTGAAAAATTCTACTTTTCATAATTATGTAATTGTGAAAAAGTATTTCAACTTTAATGGGTGAAAAGTTTGAAATTAATTGAGAGATTCCAAGATAATAGCATATGGTGATAAGCGCAGGTTAAAATCGCCCTAGAGGAATGGGGGTTAACGATTTAATAGACATCATATTAAGAAAAAAAAGCTAACATAAACACTTATCCTAACTAACTAATTCGTAAATAATGAGACATGAACAAAACTAAGCAGTAAACCATTCATTTTCAAGCTAGCAATTGACCAATTACAATCCATCATCTGGTCTGTTTTGTTCACTTTCGGCTTTAGATCCCTTATCTGGTAAACTAACATAACCTTTAGTATTATCCCAAACCTTTTCAATGGCTTCGTGTCTATGTTGGACAATATCAGCAATATCAGCACCATCAAGTTTGCCTCCATTTACCTTTTTCACAAATTCAGCTTCATCTTCTGCTAAATCAGGCGGAGGTGGTTTCACACCACGAACTCTCATTGAAGCGGCATCGATTTCCTCCTCTGCTTTTTTAGATGTAAGCATTGCCCAATCAAGAGTGTCCGTGGCAATCAGGGCTAATGAATAGTAACGACATGTGGAAACACTACGAAGACAGATTGGTGTAGTAGATTTTATTAAGGCTGTACGGAACATTATGGATTATTATAAGTCAATTGATTGAGGTAGTTGAAAAAAGAAGTGAATGAAAAAAAAAACATCAACTTGCATGACTTTCAATGATTTATATAGTCTCACTAATAGCCGAAGTATTAGTAATTTCCTATTATATTCTAGTATAGTCTATCGCCGATTAAATTGAAAGTAAAAAAAAATATGTAATTGGGGTATCATCAGTAATCCAAAAAAATATCTCCCTAATTAATAATCATCTGATCATTAATTTTTCGCGTGGGGCAAGAGGAAACTTCGTAATGTAATTACAGTAATTGGTAGCTTAATAAACTAGGTAAGAAGTAGAGATATCAATCGCGTTCGAAAGGAGTACAACAATTCATTGACAGTTCAATTAATTGATCACTTTTTCAACAAGGTTGATCACTTTTCGACAAGATTGAAAGAACCATTTGGAGCTAACCCACAAGTGTCATTTCCCTCTTATCAGGCCACAAAAAAATAAACAATGGCTGCTAAAATAATTTAATAAAAAAATTGTCTGGACTCCATAGGGATTTCAGCCACTCGGTAACACCGAGTTTATAATCCCAATCATCTCGAGATATGAAGTGTAACTCATATGAATTGATTTAGTTATTTACTAAGAAAACAAAATATTACTAAATAACAAAAAATATTTGATTTTAAAATCCATCATCAGGTCTGTTTTGTTCACCTTCAACTTTTGATCCCTTATCCTTTAAACTATCATATCCTTTATAGTTCTGTTTAACGTTTTGATTATATTGATTTGGTTCAGGCTCATTTTCTTCAATAGTCTGACCTGCCTTCTTAACAGCTTCACTAGCAGTTGACTTTATGCTAGCGGTAGCTTTAGAAGCTTTATTCTTTATGTTTTCAGAAATCTCTTCAGCCTTGGACCTAATTGGATCCAATTCTTCTTGTGCCCAGGATGTAGCTTGTCTTGTTTTCTGTTTTGCTGACTCAGCAGTTTCATAAGCCTTGCCTTTGGTTGTTTCGGCAGCATTGTCGATTGTCTCTTTTGCTTCATAAGCCTTTCCCTTTGCTTTTCCGGCAGCTTCATCGGCGGTTTCTTTAGCCCCTTCAGCAGCTGATCTTTGGACATTCTTAACTCTATGAAGTTTTTCTTCTGGAGTTGAACCTTCAGCTAAAGCTTCTGCTTGATCCATACCATCCTTGAATAATTGTCCTGCCTTTTTTGGCATAGCTTGGACATTCTCAACTGCATGTTCAGTAGCTTCAAGACCATCGGCAAGTACTTGACCTGTTTTTAAATTTACTTTGTTTAATATATCTTTGGTTTTATCAACTACGGAGTATGATCTATATGTTGAAATGGTAGCCGGAACTCTTAATGAATTGGCAGATATTCTTGTTGAAGCTTTAATAAATGTTTGACGAATCATAATGAATGGTTGTTTAGTGTGGTAGGCTCTTTGCTTATCCACATTTCTGGTCAATGGGCATTTCATCTTGTTTTTATAGGTTGCCAAATTTGCAGCAATCAAGCAAAAATAGCAACACCAAAAAAAATAGCAACCAAAATTTATGACATCAACATTACTCAATAGTTCATTAAAAATAAACGAAAATAGCAAACTGTGATATTACAATGCATAAATTAAACAAGAAAATTCTATATGGTAAAAGCTATAATCAAAACGTACTTTAATCATCAGAAGGTTCTCTAGAATAAGGATGTCTTCTCCCATTTCCACCATTACGTCTAGTTCTATCAGGACCTCCTCTGTGTTCTTCTTCTTGATTACCTCTATTTCTCAGTAATCTATTATGCAACCTTTGCATAAACAGCAATGTATTATTTCTGGCATTGCCATCCGATTCAACCGTTGGACTTGTCACTGTACTATTAAGTAGACTACTTGCACTACTTTCACTTCCACTTGATTCATCATGTAAATCGTCAATATTAGTTGTATGGGGAGAAAAATTAACTCGACGTGTCCCGGATGCATTACTAGATGCAGTTCCTGGAGTTTGCTGAGGAGTTGTCAGTGGCTGTGATCTTGTTCTTCTATGAAATCGAGAAATTGGAATTGCTCTTGTTAATGGTATTGGGTCTGGAAATGGAAATCGTTTAGGTACGACTATTTCCGGGTCCCTAACTCTAACTCTTGATTGGGTTGATGGTGTTACCCAATCTTGTGGCATATATGAATCTGTAACTGGTGTAATTGAAGGATTGAACGGACGTTTAAATGGGTTGAATACGTCAGTTGAATGCTTTCTTATGTGAAATAAAGCAGCGTCACGATTATTAAAATTACTTCTGGTGATTTGATTTAATCTAGTTTCTTTCTTTATGGCGGGACTTTCATCTTTGGCATCTACTTCTTTTCTACATAATGGACAACTGACATTCGATTTTAGCCATTCTACAATACATGACATTCCAAATATATGATCACATTCTGGCATCTTTACCGCAATATGGCCATCTTTCTTAAACTGCTTTATACGGTCATCTTTATCTTCTTTTATTTTGTCTTGATCCTCATAATCAGGGAATTGATCTTCCAATGTGACTTTCTGCAAGGTTGATAAATTACATTGTGGGAAACGACTATAATGAGACCCTGTATAATCAGTAGGGAAGAACATCGCAGGATCACAGAATCTACTTCTACTTTCCATTGATTCTAGATTAATCCCATACAGATTCAACTTTTCCATAAGTATCTTATCTTCAGATATCAACTGATCATACACTTGTTTGGTATGTAAATACGGGTTTTCAGTTTCTTCTTCTTCAACCTCCGTCTCTTTTATTTCATAAGGATCAAAACAAATAGGACAGTCCTTTTCCTCTAATTCATGAGGATTGACTCTGACTAAACTTGCTATTGCTTCGTCGGATGCCAGTCTTGGTTTTGAATGGAATGCATTTGTGCCTAATGCACGGTCTACTATTTCTCTTAACCAACCAGGGAAATCTCCAGGTGGTCCGTTCCCATCGATATCAATAACTGCACCACCTAATATTGATATAGGATCCATATTTATGGTTAGCTTGTGTGGTAGTTCATAAGACGTAACTTCGCCTCTCAGAGATTTTTTTTTTACTTAGCGCCCGTTAAGCTTACACATTTGTAAAAGCCGGTGCGGCGCCAATAGCACCGGAATGAATTTACTATTTACTATTTAAGAATTAGGTAAACAAATGATATAATTATGTTACAAATATTCCGCTCTTAAACTCTTGACCATTTCCTGTTTGTCCGGTGGTAATGAATTTATTTGATCAGGAGGTAACGACAATACTTGAGCCATCAATTCAGCCTGATCAGGAGGTCTTGCCAACAATTTCCTCTGGGTTTCAAGAGGAAGATGTGGCCATTTCGATATTGGCTGTTGTTGGTATAATTGCTGCTGCGGTGGCTGCTGTTGTTGTTGGAACTGATATTGTTGTTGTTGTTGTTGTTGTGATGCGGGTATGGGCAATCCATAAGGATTTGAATATAAAGTAGATGGAGGAGGTGGCGCATGATAAGTAGGTTGGTTGTAAGCAGGGTTAACTGCCACTGGTGTAGGTATAGATGGAGTACTTACTTGTACTGGCTGTGGCGTAGAGGATGCAGACTTCATAGACTCACTAATCACATCACTATCTATAAACCCCATTAATAACAATGCTTGTGCGGCTGATGCTGCAAAATTTGGTGACATCTGAAACACATCCATTACACGATGAGCATCAGGTCCACTCAACATATTCTTTAAATTAGCAATTAATTCAATCAATTGTACAGGTGGTATCTTACTTAATGTTTCGTTAATTTTGTCAGTAATTGCAAATGGTAAACTAAGTGGCTGTTGCAAAGTTTTTGTTGCATTCGTTAATTTGGTCGGCATAGGTTGCGCTGGACCAGTTGTAATTGGTCCTGGTACTGGTACAGGTCCTGGTCCTGCTCTTGGTCCTGGTCCTGGTCCACCACGATGAGGTTTCATTGGTATATTTGTTGGAATTGGAGAATTACTAATTCTATTCCCTGATGGATACATCAACATTTCTTGAGGTAATCTTACATAATCAGGTAATTTATTTCGATTCAATTGTAAGATTGGTCTTTGATCAGAAGGCGGTTGTGGACCACCTTTTTGAAAACCTTCCTTTGATGATTCTATTCTTAATTTCTTAGGATGATTATTATGAAAGACAGTAATTTGGTTTAATAATGGAAATGCTCTTTGTGCGTCACGTATGGTTTGATATTCAACGAAACAGAATCCCTTATTTTTACCAGCATAATCAAACCCTAACCTAACATCTACAACATTTCCTGATCCGCAGATAACGGATTTCACAGTTTCTTCGTCCCAGTCGAAGGGAATCAGTCCGACATAGAGGATTGTAGAGTTAACTTTCGGTGGCATCGTAAGCGTTCTTTTATTAGAATTGTTTGTGGTTTTTCTCGTTATCGTACTATGGAGGGCAATTTATTTTTTTAAAAAGCAGTTCTACTTTTTCACGTATAATACTTCTTCAAAGATGAATGGGAATTGGCTTCTTTGGTTTTCTAGAGTAATACAGGCACACAGAGATTTGGCGGTGAGTTCTATTAAAAAAGACAACAATGATCTCTTCTATTGCGTTTAAACACCGAGAAGAAAAATTTTCTGTACTGTGAGACAGAGAGTGAGCCGCAAGACAAAAATCAGAGGTCGTGTAATATCTACAAAACTACATTACTCTAATCAGCCGGACTGGTGTTATGATAATAACCAATATCTAATACTACTATAGAAGAAAAGTTATATATGATTGGCTAACTTTAGACTACTCTTTCAGCACCACTCAACTTGACTGCTGCTCCATACTTTTGTAATTTAGTCAATAAATTGTCACCTTGTTTAATTAACAAGTGATACTGACTATTCTTATTATCAGGTCTATTAGTTTCAATAATTCCATTAACTTTATCAATAGTACAATTCAATTTCTTATTTGGAATGAATTTACATAAATCGTGATCCAAGAATTCTTCAGTTATATTGAAATTTTGTGCCATTGATTTAATTGATAAAGATTTATAACTTTCTAATAATTGACCATAAGCTTTACATCTCATTTCTCTTAAGAAATAATTAGCATGTTTATATAAAAACTTATTTGGTAATAATAGTTTATCATACGTTTCTAAAAGATATTGGAAAAAGTAATTATATTGACAAGTGTATAAGGAATTAGTTAAATTCAATAATGGTTCTAATTCTGGAGCTGAAGAATAAATTGATAAGATTTCAGGAGAATCAATGACTTTCTCTTTTAAATCAACTCTATCCAATGAAATAACACCAGCTACAATTGCATAATGAGCAATTTGTTCATATGAACAAAGTTCAGTTGATGTAAATGTTGCCAATGAATCAATTAATAATTTAGCAGCCTCACTAAAGTTTCTAGTAGCTAATAAATAGATACCATTATAAGCTTTAAATCTATTACGACGTTCCCAATCACCACCTTTTTCAATTAAGTTTTTAATTTGATCCAAATGTTTTGCAACTTGTGGGAAATCATTAAAGAAGAAATCAATTCTTGCCAAAGTCAATAAATGGTCAATTTTATTCCCAGTTCCAGAACAAATTTCTAAAACTTTCTTAAAAGTTTCAGTAGCATTCTTTCTATCAATAATTTTAGTATAATATTCAGCTAATTTCACCGTGGTTGATACAACATCTAATTCAGTTTCTTCTTCATTTTCAGCTTCTTTGATCTTTTGTTTCAATTCCGAAATGGTTTCTTCATTTTTTGAAGCCATTTCTTGATATAATGCTTCATCATATGGGAAATCTTGTATTTCAGATTGTAAATACTTGTAATATGGAGCCAAGTTATCTTTCTTTATGGTTTCAATGATTTCATTTATGAGTTTAGTACGTTCATTCTGTGAAAGATTGGTATTGGTTAATAAGAATTGTTGTTCTGATAATTTGTAATCTGGAATCTTTGGTATATCTGATTCAATTTCCATTTTTTCTAATTGACTATTTTATTAATTGGGCTTTGTTTGATACTTTGAATTGGATGAAGATCTTAAAGTTGATTGTCTGTCAGTTGGTTGTTTGAAGGCAAAAAAAAATCCACCAAAAGTTTTCACTCACATGAGTTAACCTGTAAAACTGTATAACATGCAAAATCATATAACATGTAAAAAGGGGTTAAGCCTAACCTGTAAAAACGGATAATTTAATTTTTCACGGGTTTATCCATTTCCCTCGCTATTGAGCGATCAGTATGTGGGGGAGGGACAAGAAAGAAGTTTAATACCACGGGATCTTTGTTTTCTTACAATTATAAATATCGACTGATTTATCCCTTTTCTGCATATTTTTATTCATATTTCATTCCCAACTCATTCAAACAACAACAACAACTCGCCCACTAAACATGTCAGTTAAAGAAGATATCCCTGCTATTTTCCTCGAAAAGATTTCTCCAAGAGGTCTTGAAGCTATTCAAAAGACTAAAGATTTCGTTCACAACTATTGTCTTCCTGCTGATCATATCTATCATGAACAACTCTCAACTGATCCAAAGTTAAGATGGTCTTCAATTCCTCCAGTTATGGAAAAATTAAAGAAAAAAGCTAAAGAACTTGGTTTATGGAATATGTTCTTATCCAAACACTACAAGGAAGGTCCGCAATATACCAATTTAGAATATGGTCTTATGGCTAGATATTTAGGTAGATCATATACTGCTCCTGAAGCTACCAATACTGCTGCTCCAGATACTGGTAATATGGAACTTTTAGCTAAGTATGGTAATCCATATCATAAGAGTAAATATTTGCAACCATTATTGGATGGAGAAATTAGATCAGCCTTCTTGATGACTGAAAAGGGTACTTCTTCCTCTAATGCTTTAAATATCTCATGTAGTGCTATTAAAAACTCAAGAGGTAATTATGTCGTTAATGGACTTAAATGGTTTGCTTCTGGTGCTGGAGATCCAAGATGTTCAGTTTGGTTAGTTATGTGTAAGACTGATGATAATTCCAAGAATCCTTATCGTAACCATACTGTCTTGGTTCTTGATGCTAAGAGAGCATTGGCTTCTGGAAAAGCTAAATTAGTTAGACCATTACATGTTATTGGTTATGATGATGCTCCTCATGGACATTGTGAAATTGAATTCAATGATTATGAGGTTCCAAGTGATGAAATGGCCAATGTGGTTTTAGCTGGAGTTGGAAGAGGGTTTGAATTGATTCAATCACGTTTAGGTCCAGGGAGAATCCATCACTGTATGAGAGCTATTGGTGTTGGTGAATTTGCTTTATTAAGAGTTGCTCATCGTGCTAATAATAGAATGATCTTTGGTAAACCAATGAAAGAAAGAGAAAGTTTCCTTAACAAGTTTGCTCAAAGTAGAATTGATATTCAAAGATGTCTTTTATTGGTTTTGAATGCTGCTCATAAGATTGATATCAGTGATGCTAAATCAGCCCAAAAGGAAATTGCTATGGCTAAGATTGAAACCCCAAGAACTATTTCAGAAATTCTTGATTGGGGTATTCAAGTATTTGGTGCTGAAGGTGTTTCTCAAGATACTGAATTAGCCCGTATGTATGCTCATAACAGAACCTTGAGAATTGCTGATGGTCCTGATGAAGCTCATTTAGCTCAATTGGCTAGAAATGAAGCAAAGAGATTTGATGAAATTGAAAAGTTCTTTGCTTCCTATGAAGGAAACAGAGCCAAGGTTAACAAGTTGTAGATGACTCTTTTTATAGTAGCTTATTTATATGAATGAGAAAAATGAACTACAAGTTATGATTGAATACTTTCTCTATATCTGTTCTCATTAATTTAAAAAAAAAAATAGTACTTACAACGTATCACTAATTGCCCATTGATATAATCAGAAAGGAATTCATACAAGACGTGAAAAGAACTGAAAAATATAAGCCCAATGAAAAGTCTACTCTTTTGATATGTTTGCTCAATATAAATCAGACTTTACAAATTCATGAATTAAACCCTTTTCTAACATCTTTTTACTCTTTAATTTCTCTTGTTTAACAATTTCATTATGTTTCTGTTTCAATTCAAGTTCAGCTTGTTCAAATGGGATTTGGGTTAATTGCCCTAAATGATCATCTTCCCTATCGATATCCAATTCTCCCATCATTACCACATTCTCACCTCTAACCATAAATATACCTCTATAAATTTCACCAAACTTAACTGGACCTTCTTTTACTTCTGCTTGTACTTCTTCTCCTTCTGTTGGTTGTGGTTGTGTTGTGTCATTTAAATATATTCTTTCAAATGTATCTTGTAATACTAAATTGGCAAATTGATCAAATGTTCTTAATATTCCAAACAAATTTCTTCCATCTCTTAGGAGGACAAAGATCTTTCTATCAACAGCACCAACAATTGCAGCGGCAGTGGTGAAAGCGTATGATTCCAAATATAAATCCTCTACATTTGGGGCCATAGGGTCTGTTTGTTTCTGTTGTTGCTGTTGTTGTTGGCCCTGTGGCTGTGGGGATGGAGATGCGGTTGACATAATTGTTGTTTGTATTTGCTTTTCTATATGACTAATGAAATTGAAAGATGTTGTTTAACTTACAGTTTTCCCTAAAACATATACAATAGTTAAGGAAACTAAGTATTTCAACATGAAACCTCAATGAAAAATTTTAATGGGATTTCAAAAGTTCAAATTCAACAGAAAAAATGAATGAATTTGTTGGAGCAACACTTCTTATTGTAAATCCATGAAGTAGTCTCAAAAGGATAAATGGTCCAACGTGGTCTTGCAGTTGGTTCTACCAGACTGTTTTGGTTGTACTGGAGGGTGCTGGCTACAGGATGTTGTTGGTTACCGTGTGATACAATTTATTAAACACTCATAAATTTGCTACGATTTTACCACCACCTGAGAACGTCAAATACAAAATTGGATTTCTACTGCAAATGACTATTTTTAGAGTTCTGTGACTCTAAAGAGTCGTAGTGCGAGTCGTGGGACGAGTCAATTTGAAAATAGCTTGGCTTTATCAGCTATAGTTATTGTAGGTTTAATTGCTGCCAATTCAAGAAATGCTGCAAAAGCTGGAAAGGTTTCTTCTTGCTGCTCCAGAGGCAGAAGCCATCTTTTGTATCCAACGTCTTGCGTCTTATCAACTTGAGAACCATATATGGCAGCGATATAAGAGTCTCGGTCATACCTATAGTTGGCTCACCGTTGTTGATAGTTTTGAGTGTCAACCTGAGAATTGGTGATCTTTCTTGGGAACGGTGACGTTCAGTCAATTGCCATATACATCCATTTGACCCTTCCATGGAGAGAGTACTACCTTCGAATAAAGGTAGTTTGAAAACTTAGTAATATCGCTGTCATCCTAATCGTTTTTGGCTCTGGGAACTCTCCATATGGATGGGTAGAAACGGACAAACATACTTCTGGGACACTTAGACGGATTTTAACCCTGGTCACTTCAATTGTCTTGAAAGGGTTTTTACGTTAGAGGTTGGTTACAATTTACTTGATATTTAGTTGAATTAATATGAAGAGAATTGTCACCAAATTCAAGCATAAAAGGGCCTTCAAGAACGATGGAAGGGACTCCTCTTGGGATTGGCCCTGTAGATTCTTTGTACTATGGTTCCTGTAATAACGTCGCCAAATAATCCTATTCGATTCTGTAAATTTTCTGTACGAACTCCCTTGTCACTGTCTGTATTGCTAATATTAGCTGATTGAAGTAATACTGAGATGAGGTTGAAAAAAAAATATTGAAATTCTCTAAGACTATCTCTTTACTTAAAGCAACCCCCCAATCAACACTAAATATGTCATTCTATAGCTATAAAGACTTCATAGAAGAAGGAGATCTTGTACTTGCATTCATAAGTAGAGGAGCCACCAAACCAATCAATGTAACAAAGGGACAAGTTTTAAATACAAGATATGGACATTTCGAACATGACAAAATGATTGGAATGAGATATGGTTCACAAATGGCCGGAGCAAAAGGGCATGGGTTTATACATCTACTCCACCCAACTCCTGAATTATGGACTCTTTCATTACCTCATAGAACCCAAATTGTGTATTCTCCAGATTCATCATATATTATACAACGATTAAGAGTAGGCCCTGGATCTAGAATTATTGAAGCAGGAACTGGGTCTGCTTCCTTTACTCATTCATTTGCGAGAACAGTGGCTAAACAAGGAAGGGTTTTCACTTATGAATTCCATGAACCTAGATATTTGGAAGCAAAGAAGGAATTGGAAGAACATGGATTGACTGAGAATACTATGATCACTCATAGAGATGTTTGTAAGAATGGATTCGATATAGAAAGTATCCCAGAAGGGTTCACTCAAGATGGGAAACTTGATGGGGATATTGTATTCTTAGATTTACCTGCACCTTGGGAAGCAATTCCTCATCTCAAATCAGTTATTTCTTCAGAAAGACAAGTTGGTATTTGTTGTTTTTCTCCTTGTATTGAACAAGTTGAAAAAGCAGTGAAAGCATTGGAAGATGAGGGTTGGACAAGTATAGAAATGGTTGAAGTTGCAGGAAAGAGATGGGAAGCAAGAAAGGATATGGTTAAGGATGTAGGTGATGTTATTAAAAGATTGAAAGATATTCAAAAACGTAAATCTCAAGGTATAGAGAAATTAAGGAATGTTAATGTTGGAGATAAGAGAAATATAGATGAAACTTCTGAAGAGGCGTCTACTACTGAAACAACTCCTGAACCACCTAAGAAAGTTCAGAATACTGGAAAAAGTTTTAATCCATTTGGTAAAGGAATCCGTGTAAAAGAAGGTGATGAAAATTTCGAATGGAGAGATGTAACCAAAGTAGAATCTGAAATTAAGAGTCATACTTCCTATTTGACCTTTGCTTATATGAATCCTAATAGAATTGTGTAGATTAAAAGTATATATACTTGAATATCATAAGTAAATCAGATTGCAAAACTAGTAGAGCCGCACTTTCCTATTTGGGACTGTCATATATTTCGGTGGAAAATTCAAAATTTTGGTAAAAGTACACACCCAGCGACTTTCTCACCTTTTTCAACTTCCTCTTACAACAGTCACGTAGTCACCAGAAGTCATTCATACTTAACTAGTGCTCGAACGCATCTTTACTAAAACAACTACGATTCATCACAGTTTACCCAATCACATATAATAGAAATGAGTGCACCAATTGGTATGTATCAATTAATTGCGGCTATCCAACAGGCTAGCCAACCCCCCCTTTTCTTTATCTCATGAATCTCATACTAACAATCACGGTTCTATAGTTCTTGATCAAGGTACCGGTTTCGTCAAAATTGGAAGAGCCGGCACCAACTTCCCCGACCACACTTTTCCATCAATGGTTGGTCGACCAATCTTACGAGCCGAAGAAAGAAGTCTCTTGGTGCCTGAAGATGTTGAAATCAAGGATATAATGTGTGGAAGTGAAGCTGCTGCCGTTAGATCCTTATTACAAATCAATTATCCTATGAAGAATGGGATTGTTCAAGATTGGAACGATATGGAACATTTATGGGATTATGCATTTTATGAAAGAATGAAAACCCAAACTGAAGGACAGAAGATATTATTAACTGAACCACCAATGAATCCTACCAAGAATAGAGAAATGATGTGTGAAGTTATGTTTGAGAAATATAAATTTGGTGGTGTTTATGTTGCTATTCAAGCTGTGTTGGCATTATATGCTCAAGGTTTGAGTTCCGGTGTTGTTGTTGATTCTGGGGATGGTGTTACACATATTGTCCCAGTTTATGAGTCGGTAGTTTTGAATCATTTGACTAGTAGATTGAATATTGCAGGTAGGGATGTTACTACCCAATTGATTAATTTATTATTCCGTCGTGGATATTCATTTAATAGAACTGCTGATTTTGAAACTGTTCGTCAAATTAAAGAAAAATTATGTTATGTATCTTACGATTTAGGATTTGATGCCAAATTAGCCAATGAAACCACTACATTGGTTGAATCTTATGAATTACCCGATGGGAGAGTTATCAAAGTTGGTTCTGAAAGATTCGAAGCTCCAGAATGTTTGTTCCAACCTCATTTGGTTGATTGTGAACAACCAGGTATGGGAGAAATGTTGTTCAATACAATCCAAAGTGCAGATGTGGATATTAGATCCAGCTTATTCAAAGGGATTGTTTTATCGGGTGGTTCTTCTATGTATCCTGGTTTACCATCTAGATTAGAAAAGGAATTGAAACAATTGTGGTTAAGTAAAGTCTTACATGGAGATTCTACAAGATTGGATAAATTTAAAGTTAGAATTGAAGATCCTCCTAGAAGAAAGTATATGGTATTCATCGGTGGTGCTGTTTTGGCAAATATTATGGCGGATAAAGACCACATGTGGATTTCAAAACAAGAATGGGAAGAACAAGGTCCAAGGGCTTTAGAAAAATTAGGTCCTCGTTAGATAATTACAGTTTTTAGATGAATATAATAAAAATTCATAACAAGAAATTATATTAATTAAATTGAGACTGAAATATGTCTCTATGCAAAAATAATGCTATCTATATGTAAGAATATACAAAAGTCCTTTCATGTCATTTCTTTCAACTATAGTTTAAATTCAGAATCCCGTCCATAACATCATTAACCAACGCCTCGATATCATCACTGGATATAGCATCGGCATTTATTCTCTTATTATACCCATAATTAATCGTTTGATGTACAACCTCTCTCACAAAGCCCTCACTTACTCCCTTAGGATTAAAGAAATCACAATCCAAACATTCTTCAACTGTCCATCTATCATTAGGCAGATGTGCCAAACAATTCTGCATCAATACTATTGCACCTGTAGGTACACGAACACCACCCAATCCTTTATTTGGATATTTTATCTTAATTGCAGGATTAGTGATTGCTAAGATTCTTTGATGACCAGAATAGGAAGCATATGGAGCCTTACCATAAATCATTTGATATATAATACATCCAATTGACCAAATATCGGAAGGTTTCCCTACTTTCCAAGTATCTTTAGTATGTACACCTGGTTGGTTTACAGTTAGTGTTTCCGGGGCCATATAGTTAGGTGTACCGATTTGTGATTCACGATATATATTCACAGTATGATCAGGCACTGCATCAGCAATACCAAAATCAATAAGTTTGAGAATCCCTTTAACTAATAAGAAATTGGCAGGTTTTAAATCACTATGAACAATTCCAGCATCATGAACTTCTTTAAGGCAAAGTAACATTTCTCTCGCATAACATTTGACGAAACACATATCGGGTGGGTTTTTCATATTGGATCTATGATGTAAAGTCAGTGCTAAGTCGCCATCACCCTTTTCCATAATTAAATAGATTGAATTCTCCGTCATACAAAAATCAATTAATTTCACAATCCTTTCCGATTTTTGTAGTTTTAATAATAATGAAATCTCTTCTTTAAATTTATCGGCACATGATTTATCATATTGATCTATGCTTACCTTTTTCATGGCATAGTTTCGTTTATTAGACAAGTCTCTAATACCATAAACTTTTGAAGAACCACCTGTACCTATTATATCTCTCTTTTCGTATTGCTTTCCATTTATGGTAATGATATTCTTATTTCTAGGAGCTCCTTCGTCTGATGGATCACTGACACCGGATTCTCGGGAATGCGTTGGACGTTCAAAATGTACCTTGGACTCTGGAATTGGGTTTCTGTCTGGGATTGGGAATTGTTGAATAATCGGTGATGGTGATTTAACAATGTTGCTATGCAGCTTTGGCAATTTTGGTTTTCTAAAAACTTCTGGTTCTTGGTTTAATTGATTAAGTGGACGTTCGGCTAAAGGTTGTCTAGAGTTATATTGTCTGGAAGATTGTGATGGTAGTGGATATTGATGATTTTCTTTATCGTCAAATACCTTTCTTTGATTGATATCTTGCAATATGTTGGGGAATGAATATTTTTGTGGATCAAAGTCTCTGCCTGATTCCAGTGTGACTCTGTTTCTGTAACCTCTGACTTCTCTTGGCAGTAGTGTGCTTTTAGGTAGTGCTGGTGGCTCTGATACGACTCTATTAGTTTCTCGATATGGTCTTTCCGCCCTTGAAACAAACTCCGGAGATTCTTTAAGCCGACCGAATATTGGATCCAGTCCAATTTCGTTATTTGAGGTTCTTAAAACAGGGGAGAATCTATCTAAATAGAGTTCAGGATATGGATTATCCATGGGACTTTCTGATAATGTTTCTGAAACTCGTATAGGACGACCCAATAGTTTTCCAAATCTTCGCTTTCTCTTTGGAAGATGATGAATTGGTTCGAATCCATCCTGACTACTGGGACGATAACCATCATCTGGAATGGTTACAGTTGTTTTCCCCAATGTACTATGATTTGATTTGCCAGGTGTAAAATCATCCCAATTATTAGAATATTGACTGTTGGTATAAGTATTTCGTTGATGGAATTCATTCGGATTATTCTCCTTGATTTCATTATTTTCATTAATTAGAAGATGTTTTGCTAATTTATTTCTAAACTTAGTGATGTTTTCAGAAAAATCGTTTTCATATTTACCCGTGATTGGAGCAGTGATTATGTTCATTGACTCACTTGTTGAAGGATGCTGTAGATGATGGCTTTTTGGTTTATCGTGTATTGCTGCTAAACTATATGAACTTAGACGAGGTGGTAATTCTGTTTTATCGTCATCTTGGAGAAAGGGTCGTTTGTGGTTTAATGAAAATTCATGTTCAGGTTCATTAAACGATATGTTCAGATAACTACTCAATAATGAATTAGAATCATTGCGGGTAGTGGTATTACTACCAGAAAATGATCTATAATCGAATGCCATCATATATTATCATTCATGAAGCTCTTCTAAATGACGCACTGTTACTCAGTTTGGAACTTGTTTTGATGTGATGTGTGTCTTCTTTTGTGAGGATTATCAAATTCAATAATATGAAACTGTAATTTGTTTAAATTTAAAAATAAAATGTAAATTCTATTTATTGATCAACTTTCAAGGTAAAGTTGTTATGTAATTTATTTAATGAAACGTTTTATTGAATATTTAGATAGTCTAATTCCACAAATAGAAAGAAAGAAGGAATTGTTAAAAGAGAAAAGAACCGAAGAAAAAAAAACATTTCGCGTTTGTTTACAAAAACGAAAGCAGAAAGTGCGAAAAAAAATGTGCTCCACGGCAGGTTCGAACTGTCGACCTTCAGATTTCACAACAAATCAAGCTTATTATGAGACTGACGCTCTGCCAACTGAGCTAGTGAAGCCAATTTTTTTCAAAAAAATTTCACGTGGTTTTTTTAACATGTCATCAAAAAAAACCCTTTCGTAATTTTCATGGGTTAATGCCATTGGAATCAATCCTTTAAAGGTATATTTCAATAGCTTAAACTAAGCCCCCAGTTTTAATTAAGTGCTTAAAGTGATAAAGTAATTTTTGTGCTCTCCAAACCTAAAATTGTAAATTTTTTGCAGCCAAATGTAATTGCTCTGATATGGATATCTTTGTTAATCATATTGGTTAATTAATACTCCAAATAAAAACTCACCCCATTATAGTCTGTAGGGATATCTGTCTTTTAATGGTACATTGATTTTTATGTGGGATTATTTGAGTGTAATTTGGGTTGGTGAAAATCAAGTTTTTCTTTTGAACAACAAAAAAATCAGCGATTCTCCAGTCCTGGAGTTTCCTGCCAGAGCCTTTAAAAATTGAATGGAATCTTGTCTCTTTCTTGTATATTTACGGATCGTTATTATGTCTTACTTAATTCTCCCATGGATGGTCTTTTAACCCGTCATCAATTTTAGAAATTATTTCGAAAAATTGTCATGAAAAACAGCCAAAAATTGAACCTTTTTTTGCCGCAAATCATGAGAATTATTGTCAATCATTCTAGTTTTCAGCCATTGTTCAACCTTGAACATTGCTGATACTCCTGTATTATTCTTCGAACCTCACATACCCTCAGAGATACTCTCTCTTTCTACTTGAATTCCATCACTCAAAACTTCTGTCTTCATTATGTCAATTGAACTCAGATCACCCTAATTTTTCAACGCTATCAAATTTGCAGGACAGTCAACAATAATTTGCAGCATTAGTAGCACAGGTACATACAATCAACAGATAAGTACCGGGTTGCGTTCGAATGCTCTTCGATAATCGAAAATCCAATCCTTAGGTGTAATTTCTTCCGAATTAATAATACAGATGAAACACAAGACTCTCTAATAATTTCAGACTTTGCCAGCTCAATAAAATCAACTTTGATGATATCGTCGAATATACTGATTTCTAGGTTGATTCTGAATATCTTACATATTTGAGTTCCAAAAAGATTCGAAGTTGATAGGGAGAGAACATTATGGAAATTGGCTGTAGCTCAAGGAGGATTCAAAACTAAAATTAGGTTAGTTTGCAACCATACATTGTTTGATGGTGGGAGTGGGAGTTATGTCCATACGGATTTCGTTAAGAAATCAAATCAATTATCTGATGTTCGCTACAAGAGAAATGTGTTACTTGTGGAAGATGAGCTTATACCAGAACAGGTTCCTGCTCCCGATGACTCGCGTACTTCATTATACAACCCTCCGTTCATTTTCAAAATTGTAACATTTTCTTGGTGCCTATATGGTTTAAAACTTTATTCACCAGACGGGTTTATCCAAATACATACAAGTAACCATTATTCAAATTTAAGCCGATTGAAGTTGGAAGTCCTACAGCCTATCGAATGTTGCCTTGGGCTTTTCCAATGAAAAGTCACAACCCATACTTCACCAAATCCCAGGGATTAGCATTCACTCCTTATATCTCGGATTGCTTTAAAATAGCTTTCAAGATACAATTACACCTCACATATCCCACCATGCATGCTCGATGAATGCTATGATAGTGGTTGATGGAAGACGATACTACCCAGATTTAGAGCCCTGTTTGAAGTGGCTGTATCATAAGACTCAGATCTTGCACCCAAAGATGGAAGGAACCAATCATTCACATCTCATTTATCTAAGATTCCCCTCAGAAGCCCGATAACTGTACCGTGTGCAATTTCACAATCTCGTTGTGGAGTCGTGGCTTCTCGGACCCTACCCTCCATCTCTTTCCTAGACAATTTTCGTATGCTGTACAATTTTTGGATGCATTTCGTCTATAATTGCACAACACCAAAATAATTGCAAATTGAACTTCCTTTCGGCTTCATTTATTCTACATTAGCTTATTAGCGTTTCTCAAAATTAGCCTTTGTGAAAGTATAGGATTTCGTATCCATGAAAATTCATTTTTGTCAAGGATTGATAGAATACCTTTTATAAGATCAGGATATCAAGTTACAGGTTGTTTAACCAGATTACATTTCTGGAAGAAATTGGTGACGACTCTTGCATCGGAGTTTGAACTTTGCTCTAAGACTCACATCTTATTACTCAAGAGCCTCAGCACCATTTATCCTTCTTGCATAAAACCCCACCGATGTTAAAAGGATCTTACCCGTGGGAAAGTTATAAACTATTCCACCATTTCTGAATTGCCTAAAACAATTGTCTGCCACCATGTATTGGGTACCTTTTAACTCAGAATATTCTGATAATTTCGATAAACAATACTTGCTAATTCACATTTTATGTACTTGTTTTTGCTCACAGCTTATCGTTAACGTTTGCAATTCTTGACGCGGCTATTCTTAAAAATAAAAAATAAAAATATTTTTTAGGAACTTCTTAGAAGATAATCACATACGATCAAGTGGAGTAAAAAAACTACACACCCTACCTTATCCGTCCAAATTTGGAACAAACATACAGATGGGTATGGCTTGAAGCGGACTTGGAATTCCATTTTGTGGGGCTTCTGATAGCTACGAACTGAGGGCAATTGGTTCTAGAGACGAATTTCTTTTGTGGTAATTGTATTCCCTTGTGCATTTATCCCCACCATGATGGGCATCAAACCATCAGCATGCTGAGTGATACCCAAACGAATATAAATAGAGGAAGCTTTCATTCGCTAAAATAAATTTGGGTTCAGTCGTATAGTAACTAAAAAACTAACAACGAAATGGAACCAAAGCATTCAAAACGTTCGCTTGATATTATTTCCATACAAGAAGAAAACGCCCTTATCAGGGCTGCTACATATAACGAAAACAATGAAGAATTACAATTTGCTTTATTCAACGACAAACCGGACTTTTCTCCCCATGCCTTGAAACACTACTTTGGTACAAGACTTTCCACACTCATGGATTTGCCAGTCTTTCACAGAGAGGAGCGATGGTTCGAAGTGCTCAATCCAATTCATGGGCTAAGAGAAATGACCGCCAGTAATTGGAATTTCTATTTTTTGGGTTACTTCGGTTGGGTCATTGATGCGATGGATTTCTTCTGTGTTTCTGTCGCTGTTCCTGAAATTGCTGCTACTTTAGGTGTTTCCGTGACTGACGTCACTTGGGGAGTTACAGTAGTGCTTATGCTTAGATCCGTGGGTGCCATCATATTTGGTATTGCTTCCGATTATTTAGGTAGAAAGTGGACCTATATTATTATTGCAACTTGTTTTATCGCTGTCGAGGTTGGTACTGGGTTTGTTCAGACTTATGAACAATTCTTAGGGGTTAGATCTTTGTTTGGTATTCTCATGGGTAGTATGTATCCGATTGCCATGGTTACTGCTTTAGAAGGACAACCAACAAAGGCAAGATCAATTCTTTCTGGGTTATTCATACCAGGATATAGTGTCGGGTATATTTTTGCTATGGTTTTCTACCGTGCCTTTGTTAATACCTATAAACCAGGGGAAGGATGGAGATCGCTTTTCTTTTTCTCAGGTAGTTTATCGGTCATCTTAATTGTTTGGCGATTGTGTTCCCCAGAGTCGCCAGATTTTATCAAAATCCAAGAAAAGAAGAAGAAATTCAATGCTGAAATGGAAAAGGGTGGTGGATTCTGGAAGAAGTTTGATTATAGTGTATTAGTCACACTTAAGACGGAATGGTTAATGTTCCTGTACCTTGTGGTTTTGTACGCTGGTTACAATTTCGTCGCACATGGGACTCAAGATTTGTATGCTACACTTTTATCCAAACAATTCAATGTTAATGTTGACCAAAGAACCCTTATCATTGCTATCAGTAACGTTGCGGGTGTGTTCGGAGCTGTCTTTATGGGTAATGCGTCTGAGATCTTTGGAAGAAGATTAACCATTATAATTTCTATGCTCTGGTGTGGTGCCTTTTGCTATCCAGCCTTCTTCAATGCTGACAAGAATTGGTGGGCATATGTGTTGTTAAATGTTGGGGTTTTGGGTGCTTGGGGTGTCGGTCCAATTCATCTTTTAGAATTGGTGAATACTACCCACAGAACCTTATTAGCTGGTTTAGCTTATCAATTAGGTAATTTAGTTTCTTCAGCCTCTATGACGATTGAAGCAAAACTTGGAGAAAATTTCCCAATTGAAGGCGCCGCTCCAGGAGTATTCGACTACGGGTTAGTTATGTGTATTTTCTCAGGTGCTGTTTTTGCATTTATGGTAATCGTCGTCTTCCTTGGTCCGGAAAGATTCCATAAGGAATTAAGAGTTCTTGACGATGTGCATGAGCTTGAAGATCATGAGGAAAAAGCCGTTGACATGAGAGAAAAAAAACCAGCCGTGTAAGCTTGGTAAAGGAGAGGTGATGAGGTTCTTTATATTGGTTGAAGTATGTCTGTTTATAGTGTGAATAAAACTTATTTCTGTTTTGACAAACGTAGAATTGTAAGTGATTGGCATCAATTATGTGTAGCAGCAAGTGATATCACTGTCGAACCAATCATAACCCCCACAAACGCATTCTCGAGTTTGAAAAAGATCATAAATTACATTTCTGGGAGAACAATTATATCCAATCCTGCTATTATGCGGGCTAAGTGAAGTTGGTTAATATTTCCCAACTCTTTAAGACCAAGATTGGTTCTCATGACCCAGGAACTGAACACAAAAATTGAAAATATATGGTTTAGTCAAGATAATGTATTTATGGTCCCATATTCAATTTTTGAAGGAAATTCTATAAACCACCATAGAAGAATCGATTGTTGACACTTTGTAGCACACACGATCCCATCCCATTCTTATGTGCCAATTCCGTTGGAAATTACGGATAAATTGAATGCAGGAAATGTCGCAAAAAACTTTCACGCATTGTTCCGCCTTGATCATTGCTGTTCATCTCCTCCTATTGTCCTTAAAACTGATCCTCAAATACTCTTAGAGATATTATCTTTCTTTCTGGTGAAAAGTTTTATGCCGTCTCTGGCAGGGGAGAGAGCAACCTGGTGGTGGATGTTGGGACTGAAAAATTTTTATCACTTACTTTTTATGTATTTTTATATACTTTAACTGACTTAACCTTTGTATTGATAAACAAGCTGACTGGCTGGCCACTTTCTACTTAAAATTCCATTACTCAGAACCTTTGCCCTCGTTATGTCAATTGATCTTAGGTCTCCCACATTTTTTGAACGATATCAAATTCACAGGACAGTCAACAAGTACTATTCCAACTTCAATGTCACTGCCGAATATAATCAACAAATAACTCCCGAATTACTTTCGAATGCTCTTCACAATCTCATAATCAAAAATCCAATCCTTGGATGTAATTTCTTTCGAATTAATAACGAAGATGAAACTCAAGACGCTAATAATTTCAGACTTCGCCCAATCGATGAGATCAAATTTGATGATATTGTAGAATATACTGATTTCGAAGTTGACTCTGAATATCTTACATATTTGAACTCCATAAGATTCGAAGTTGATACAGAAAAACCATTATGGAAATTAGTTGTATCTCAAGGTGGAAACAAAACTAAAATTAGTGTAGTTTGCAACCATACATTTTTTGATGGCGGAAGTGGGTCGTATTTCCATACCGATTTGGTTAAGGAATTAAATCAATTATCTGATGTTCATGACAAGAAGGATGTGATATTCGTCAATGATGAGCTTATACCAGAACAGGTTCCTGCTCCCGTTGACTCGCTTACGTCATTATACAACCCTCCATTCGTTTTTAAAATTGCAACTATGTTAAATTTATTCTTGGTCCCGACATGGTTGAAGAATTTATACAGAAGATGGGTTTATCCAAATACCTACAAGTACCCATTATTCAAATTTAAGCCAATCGAAGTGGGAAGTCCAACAAATTATAGAATATTACACCTTTCCAATGAAAAGTCACAATCCATATTAAAATTCACCAAATCCCAAGGATTAACATTCACTCCTTATCTCACCGGGATTGCATTAAAGGCCTTTCAAGACACAATCACCCCTCACATATCCAAAGGCCCATGCTCGATGAATGTAATAATTGATACTAGTGGAAGAAGATACTACCCTGATTTAGAACCCCTTTTGAAATATCAAGGATGTGTAGCAGCAAGTGATATCACTGTCGAACCAATAATAACCCCCACAAACACATTCTCGAGTTTGAAAAACATTATGAATTACATTTCTGGGATAATGAACAAAGATATAAAATCCCGTTCAATATTTCATTATGTGGGATTGTTGAAATCAGTTAATATTTCCCAACTCTTTAAGAAGAAGATCGGGTCACATGGTCGAGCAACTATAGAAGTCTCGAATTTGGGTTGTATCAGAGATATAGAAGGAGATATAAAGATAGAAAATATGTGGTTTAGTCAAGATAATGGATTCCTGGCCCATATTCAATTTTCAATCGTAAGTACCCCCAAAGGAGGAATGAACATTGTTTGTGGAAATCTTAATGAGGTAGAAGAGATTATAAATCCAGATACAGGCACCAAAATCATTGATGAATTCATAAAAACACTAAATGATAGATTGATACAATATACCCAATCATCATGATGTAACATTCTTGTATACTTACTTTCTTTCTATAGTCTCTGTAATAAAAACTATGTACACATACACAATATACACTCTTTTTTACCGCTGAATCTAAAACCCACCAGTCATATCACGAATTCTATCAACTTCCTCCTGTAATGCCTTTAAATCATCTAATATATTAGCCGTGCTATCATTCCCACCAGTGGAATATAATCCCCCTCCATTGGAAGCAGGAGCCTCATGTGGGACCTTTGGCGGTAATGGTGGAGGGACATTCGATGAGGCGGTAGTATTTCTTCTTCTGGATGGAGGTGGAGGTGGGGGACCTCTACCTAATGGAGACCTTGGAGGTACCGGAGGTGGGACTTGGGGACTATGTAATCCATTTCTGTCATTGGGAACAGTTATACTTATCTGGGGAGTTTGTGGCATTGGTGAAGATACTGATCTTTGTCTGACAGGTGGAATTGGAGCTTGGAGTAATGGCTTTGATAGAGCTTCCATGTCTTGACCTATCTTTGCATTCTGTAATGTGTTTTCCATCGTATTTCCTGTCATTTGACTCGTGAAAGCTTGTAATGAAACTTTGGGTCCTGATTGTGACTGCAGCAGCTGTTGCTGTTGGTCTTGTGATTGTTGTTGACCATTACCAGGAGCAAAAATTCTCGCCATATCCACCGGTCCTGTAACATTTGGTCTTAAGGGCGAAGGGTTATCATTAGTTCTATTAATATATTGGGCCATTTGATTAGGTCCTGTCATATTTGGTTGTAATAAATCAGGTTCTGGAGATGGAGACATCATGTGAGCCATTTGTGCTGGGCCAGTCATATTAGGTTGAAGTAAATTGTCATTTGAGTATCCGTCATGGAAATGCAAGGATGATGGTACACCGCCTATAGATGCTGTATCTACAGAATGCAAATTTTGAAAATGATTAATTTGAGATGCCATATCTTTAAGTACTTCTTTCTCTTCTTCGTCCATTTCTTGTTCTTGTTCCTGCAGCAATTGTGAAGGGCCAGGTTGTGATTTCATTCGGTTTAATAATTGATCCATAGGCAAGGAATAGTCTAGTTGTTCTTGTGGTCTTGGGGAACCAGATGGAGAATTTGCAAATGAGGAATCATGTACATCTATTTGATCTGAAAACTTAACTGATTTCAATTTTTTGGATTTTCGTTTCTTACGTAATTCGTCAGGACGTTCACCAGTTAGTAAAAATTGTGTAAAACTATCAATATCTAATGGTTTATTAGAATCTTGGCTTCCATTCTCTGAACCATTAAGCTCTGTTGCTGATTCATTTATATCATTATCGCGATCATCATGATCCTCGTCATCATTCTGTCTCTTTTTGGATAGAATTGAAGGAGGTGTGGGGACTGGTGCTTGTATTTTGATCAAGCTTCGACTGGGTTCTTTCCCCAGTAAAGCATGACTTATGACTCGTAATAATGCAAAGAATTCTCCAATATTTATTGAATATAATATTTTACTGAACATTTTGCATATCTTCTCTTTAACCTCTTTTGATAACTTGAAATTATTTAAAAAATTGAAAACATCATTCATAGTAATTGTTCGACTATTAGTTCTAGCTAGTATATTACTATACCATCTCATATAAGTTTTTGATTCTTGATATGTTAATTCTTGTGCTGTTAAGCTTAAAGGTATAGAAGTATCATCTGTATCAAAAACAGACCCAGCTGCTGCATGTCTTGCCATTTCCATGTGGGCTGAAGCCTGGGTATGACCCAAACTATCATGTCTGCTTCTTGCCTTTTCAAATATACTTTCATAGCTGTCTCCATATGATCCACGTATTTGACGGGAAGGAGACATACTTAGCTGATCAACTGAGGTATTCTTGAAATATGTTGGTTCTGGGAAAAGATGTTGACTAGATACAACTGGTTGGGATCGGTCAAACAGGATATTGCCGTCTGTGCTGCCATACTTTACCATAGGCACAGATTGTCTGTTTGGTGGTTCAAGTGTATTTGTCTGACTGGTATTTAACCAATCGAATCCAGGACCATTCATTTGATTTGTAGTTATTTAATAAAAAGCTATCTGGGGGAGGGAGGAGATCAGGTTGTAAAAAAAATGGATAATCTAAAATTAATGCAAAAAAGATTCTAGGGTGTATATAATCACTATGATAACTAGGCGATGATGGGAGTGAGTGTAATGATGATTGTATTGTATGGATAACCTTTGTGTGTGTATATATATATAGGTTTAAAGATGGTTGTTCTTTATCTCTAATGTCCTTGCTGTAAAATGGAAGGTTGATGTGTCAATTCCCTGACGACATTTTCCTCAATTTTCGGAAATGTCTTTATTGTTATTAAGCAGTAAGTAGAAAAATTCTTGACGACGTAAAGCTTTTTTTTCTCGGTACGAATTTATCGATTTAATTACTACGGTGGTACCGGGATTCCTAACCGCCCCACTCTACCCGCTAAATTGATCATTACCTGATCTTAAGAACAAGGCTGAACTTATATTAAAATACTACAACAGTTGTAAAAACAGAAATTTTCGAGCATATTATGTGACTATTTGCGAATCAGCAATAGCCGAGGGGGGATAAGCCGGATCGTGTGGAAAGATCATGACACAATATGATTTTATTAAAATTTTAATTAATTAAACATTAGAATTAAACAAAGTTGTAAAGAGAATGTAAAATCACTATATAAAAGAGTGAAACACTCACCTGTCAAAGATAAGTTTCTATTGGTGCATTGCTTCTTGCATTGCTACGATATCAGTCATCTGTCTACTGTGACTCAAATCTTGCTGGGGAGTACCATGTGCTGCCCAATCAGTATCTTCATCCAAATCCTGGGCCCTTTCCTTTCCCAGACTGACACCACCTGAAATGTTTGCAGTAGCCATTCTTTCAACTTCTTGAGCAGAAGGCATGAAAATAACTCTAGTACCCGGAGATTTAGCCATATTTTGTAATGCATCCAAATATCTAATTTGCATAGCTGGTTTCGATGCCAATATATCAGCTGCTTTTCTCATTAACTTGGCTGATTCAACTTCAGCCTTTGCATTAATGATCTTACCTTCACCAATTCTCTTTGCTTCTGCAGCCATTGACAATGAAGATTGAACCTTGTCAGGTAAAGTCAAGTCTTTAATTAAGATTGATTCAATTTGTACACCCCAATCAAAAGCGGTTTTGGCAATAATATGTTCAATTGATTCTGCAATTTCTTCTCTCTTCTCAACCACATCTTGTAAAATTCTTCCACCAATGACATCTCTAAGGGTTGTTTGAGTTCTTTCCATAATTGCTTCATGAATATTAGAAATGGAATAAATGGCCTTGGGAGGATCAATGATATTGTAATAAACAACGGAAGTAATAATAACACTGACATTGTCTTTAGTGAAACATTTCTGAGCTGGAATTTCTCTAATGTTAATCTTTATAGAAACTTTAGTTATAGATTCAGACCAAGTATTAACATAATTCAACCCAGGTTCAACAACTCTATTAAGACGACCAAATGTTTGAACCAATCCAACTTCACCTTGATCCACTTCACGATATGGATTTTCACACAAAAAGCAAAACATCCCACATCTCCCAAATATAGCACCAGCACCAGCTATAAAATTCTGATATGTCCCCATAGGTGGATTATCATATACCTTAGCAAATTTTTTCGCAACCATTTCTGGAGTAACTGGGGGTTCTTGCTTAATTGATTTTTTAAAAGCATCTGGATCAAATGAATCTGCTGAATTATTTGAATGAGAAGTTGCTTCCATTTTGTAAAATTGGATTCTTGTTGTTGTCGATGATGAATATGTTTTATTAAAAAAAAAAAAAGGGAAACAAAAATAAATACGTGTTTATTGTGTCAGCCTTCGAGGTATTTATAGTCAGTAGAAAATAAAATAAATTTGTAAATCTTTGCGACTGTGGGGGGAGGAGCCAATAGAAAGAAGAGGCTGAACACCCCTTAAAAAAATTAAACTTCGATTTAACAAAAGGTAACAGCGGCACGAAGTTTTATTAAATTAAGTTTAAACAATAGAAACTGGTCATTTTCTATAATGATAAAATTTATTGTTCGTGTAACTTCAATTATGAAATAAAAGTGGAGGTTCACGGCGGACCGATCTGCATAGCCCCAGGGTCTAACTTCAGTCTAAAATGAAGTTGGTCATGCAAACTGACAACAATGAAGTTCTACGAGAAAAACGTTTTATTTTACTGTGAATTGATACGAGATGATGATGTAATTGCATTCGGAGTAATTTAGATCAAATAAGGAATGCTACATGGCAATTGCGGGACAAAAAGAATCATAAAATACAATGGTAATTTACTTTTTTTTTACTGATCTATCCAATCAAATACTTAATGCTTCAATTTGACTGATCAATTCATCATCTTTTTGCTCAGCCAACCCTTGAACCAAATCAGCAAGTAAATCCCTCGGATCTTCTAACCCAATACTAACTCTTAACAATTTCTGACTAATATGAGCATCACTCATTGCTCTCCATTCAATCAAACTCTCAGCCCCTCCTAAACTGGTTGCATGGAAAAATATCTTTAATTTAGAAGGTAATCTTCTTGCCTTATCTTCCAGGGTCATTTCAATTGAAAATACCGGCGAATGACCATTTGGCATTTGTTTCTTGATATATTCATCAGTTTGTAAAGAACCATGATAAATTTTATCTAAATTTGGGAATTTTGATTTATTATCATTTAAGAATTTAACAATTAATTCAGCAGATTTAGATTGTCTTAAAATTCTTAATTCATAAGTACGTAAACTTCTAAGTAACAAAGAACTTTCTAAATTCCCAATAATTGAACCTAATACTAATCTATCCTCTAACAATTTCATCTTGATTTCTTTTGAAGGAGTTAACAACACCCCAGCTAATAAATCACTATGACCTCCAAAGAATTTAGTAGCCGAATGCATAACAATATCAGCTCCCAATTCAAATGGATCCATTAATGGAGGTGGAGCAAATGTCGCATCAACCGAAACCAAAGCTCCCTTGGCATGTGCTCTCTTTGCATATTCTTCAAGATTGATATTTGTCCCATAAGGATTCATTGGACTTTCCAAATGAACCAAATCCCCTGGTTTTAAACTGTTATAATCATCGTCAATATGAATCTTCTTTAATCCGAAATTACGAGCCCAAATGTCGTTGATTCCATGTACACCATGATAAGCTTGACCAATAGCCACAGTTTTGGGATTAACTAAAGTAATTAACCCATTATAAGCCCCTAATCCGGAATTATAAACCACAGCGTATTTTCCAGTTATTTTTTCAAATATAGCTTCAATCATAGCTGCATTGGGATGATGTTCACGAGAATAGATGAATGTCTTTGAGCCAGCGATCGTACCAGTGGTTTCGGCGACTGGAACAAGATCATCCGGATTGGAAGAATATGCAAAAGTGGTAGAGACATTAATTGGTGGGATCACATCTGTGACACGCCTCATATTATCAGCTCCATGAATCGAGTCAGTCGTTAATCTTGTCATTTCTGTGGTGGGTGTTGTTTAGTGTCGAAGAAAGATGGGGGGGATGAGGGAAGGGGGCCATTTATTTATCTTTTTTTTTTTTCAATCGGACCGCTGTCGGAGAGTTGATACTGTGCATCATCAAGTATTGCGACATCTATACAAAGCCACAGCATTCCGGACTTCGCTTTCCTTCGACAGATACCTCCTCTAGAAATTGGCTTTCCAGAGTCATTCTTGGATGAACAATTGTAGGAGACCGTTGCCTCATGATAAATAGTGTATTTAGTTCTTGGCTTATCTATCCCTTTCAAAAATTTTGACTATCTTCGGCTAATTTTTTTTAAAGCGAGATTCACAAAAAGAAAGTCCACCCTTCAACCTATCAGCTTTAGAGATTCAGATTCAGATTCCCGAGATTATGCGAAAGTCTATTTCGCTTAAAATGTTTATCCGAAATAATTTTAAAAATATGAACCCTGTTGATGCCACAATTGCGAAATTTTCCAATCGTTGGCTGCAACTACAAGGATCTAATTCTCTTTCATAAATTAACATATCTATTGTACATACAAATACTCTAAAAGAATTTTCTCTATATAAAACGATACCACAAACCACTATTATATCTTCGTAGCATGTTCACTTCTCTTCATACGACTACCCAATCTAAAGATCAAATAAGTTACACAACCAATAAATCTAAAAGCAGCCATAAACACCACCGTCCACAAAATAACAGTCAAAAACACTTTAGCTCTTGCACTCTTGACAGCAGCCAAAGTTTCAACACTTTCAAATTGATTAAATCCACCAGTTTCCAACACGACAGCAATAATCACGAAATTAGAAACCATCCATAATAAAACCGTCATGGATCTAATAAAGGCATAATAATCTTCATTACTCTTTTCAATGTGCTTTTCAGGTGGAGGAGCAGCATCTCTAATCTTTTCTAATTGATTAAGATAACTTTGATTAATTTCTTCTTTTCTTACAGGAACACTAACATCGAAGGTACCATCTTCTCTCAATTTGGCTTCACCTAATGATGGACCTCCAGTATCACCTTTAGTACCCCAAGAAACATCATCGATGTTACAGAAGGCATAAATGTTAAGAACATTGACATAGGAAGGGGATAATAAGATATATTGAGCAAAGGAAGTAAACATATGCCAAGGTTCGAAATAAAGGAATGAAGCAAGGAAATATAATGCATAGGTAGAAGCAGTAGCCACAACCAAATTTCTAAATTCGGCATTTTGGAGGAATAATGTCAACGTGAGTTGTGTTTGAGTTCGATAAAGTTCTTTAATTGCATGAATTGCCATGAATAAAGCTGCAAAGATCATATATCCCATTAGGATGGCGAAGAAAATGACAATCACGATATAGAATTTCTCAGTCCCTTTTGGTTTGTTACCAAAACTCAATACGAATGTGGTTACGATTGATGCGAGATAAAGCCAAAGGAAAACAACGGAAAGGATATTACCAGGAGCGAAATTTAAGGCGGGATCGGCTAATGAGGTAGTTAAGATTCTGAAAACCAAGAAATAGGACCCAATGGAAAACCAAGAAACGATAAGACTGACTAATTGATACATGAATTCAATGTGGAGGAAAATCTTTCTTAAGAATGAATGGGATGATCTCCAAACATAAGGAAATTTAGCTAAGGCATAAATAGCGGCGAAGAATGAACCATTTAACCAACGTCTTCTTTGTAAGATAAATTCTGCCATTCCTTCAGGAACATCAGTTTCTGCAGATGCTGATTTACAATAACGTAATAACCAATTACAACCTCTTTTGGCGACCAATTCGAAACATAAAATACGATCTTCAGCAAGATACATATTGGAAGTAAAAATACCTGCTTCTTCCTTTAACATAGACCGTTTCATTTCATATTCGTCATCATTTGGATCTAATTCTCCACTACCATGTAAGAATTCCCCTTTGAAGTATTTTTCTAATGGACCTTTTCCGTTTACGTCATTTTGTAATGCCACAAATCTATAGGCACTGAAAGCACCTGGTAAGACAGAAATGAATCCAAATACGGATTCTGTAGGTTTATCTAAAATATTTGAAATTTTATATTCGAAATTTTGTCCATATACCAAAGGATTGGTAATCATTTGAGTTTTCTTTAAACCCGCTGTAATTTCCCCACAAGCACCTGCAACTTGATGATCACGATCAAATTCTTTCCATAATTTATATAATGATTTTCCTGAAGGTTGAGTACCGGCATCCAACAATATGACAATTTTTGGATCTAAAACTTGCCCAATGGCTTGGAAACACCAACGATGAGAATTAATTTTTTTGGCATTAGCTTCTTTAAGACAGAATAACATTTGAACTGGGACGATTTTGTTAGTAGTTAATTTAACAACCCCATCTCTGACATCAGAAATACCCACTCTAGTGGTATATTCATACATGTGGGCTTGGACTTTCTTGTCATCAACCATACTCTTGGCTAAACCTTCTTGATAAACACCTAAACCAGCTAAAAGTGCTTGAGCTCTTTCATTAATTTTGGTACGACCATCACTAACGATACAAACGACGATTTTTTTCCAAGAATCTTTACCCCAAACTGAAGATTTTGATTTTGATTCAAGATGTTTAATATTTTTGAACACCCCTTTTAATGTACGACCTAATAAAATATCATCTTCATTATACATAGTAATAACAATCATTAATTCGGTTTGTCTAGGAACAGGATAATGAACTGGTCTTAAAATATAAGCATCACGATAGAAATTTGAAGGACCACAAGTGACAGCAGTATATCTCATAAATGCAAATTCACGAGATAAACCTCCATCTTTTTGACCATAACGATAATCAGGGAATTTAGATAATAATTCACTTGCTACTGGACAATCTAAGACTAAATGACCATTTATACCACTTGCTCTAATTGGTTTTTTCTCACGTACTTCAACTGCTGCAGGTGGTGGGACATAGGGTGCAACGCCTTCTTCAAATGGTCCTTGTTCTTCGTCTAATTCTTTTTGTTCTTCTTGTACTGTACCTGACAGAGGAATTGTAGCTTCATCATCATAACTGACAGCAGCTAAATCATAATGATCACCTTTAAATTTATCATATTGAATTCGTTCATCGAATTCACGTTCTTCATTATCATCATATACATTAGGGACAAAACTTTGGTTATAATTAGGACCAGCATTAGCGTATTGCATCTCATAACTTTGATCAAAAGGATTGTCTTGAGGATGAGATTGATATCTTGGGTCTTGTTGTTGATTTGTATCAAATATAGGACGACTGTAATAATCGTCAATTATGGAATGGTCCAGTCTATTATAAGTTCTTTCAGGTTGTAAAAAATTAGTTGAATTTCCAGATGTTGTTCTATGAGCAGGATCATAATTAGTATCTTCTGCTAATCTAGTGTTACTCCTACCATAATTGCTATCTGCTGCTAATCTAGTAGTGCTTCTGTTATTGTCATGGAAAGCAAAATATGAAGAGTCGTCATCTGATTGTCTTTGTCGATTAGTAGCATTTGGATTATAACCATAAGGGTGGTTTCCACCTCCTCCGTATGAACTCATTGTGATTGGTTAAGGTCTGTTAATTAATGAATTGCCAATAAGCAAAAGTTGTTTAATTAAAAGAAGAAGAAGAAGAGGAAAGATGAAAGAAATTAAAAAAAAAAAATTGACACAACTGGAGGTTTACCGTTTATAAGAAAATTTAAGATACACGATATTTCCAAAAAAAATAAAAATAAAAAAATTAAATTAAATTAATAAATTATTTTTTAAATTAATAATTAATTTTCTCGAGAATCAACAAAAATTTTATTTTAACTTAAAACGGAAATGTAATACAAAATTAGGC